AAATTAAATCAGAATTAAGCGATACCATGCCACAATTATGAGATGCTATGTCATAATAATGACGAAGTAAGTCATAATTATCAGATACTATGTCATAATTATGAGAAACTCTCTCATTATTGTGCCTCACTAAATGTCTATATATTTTTATCAGTTGCAAAATATATATAGCCATTTCTCTCTTTTTCCAAGAAATTTTCTTCCAGTTAACAGAATGTCTGTCATTGAACTTTCCTGATGGCTGTATAACAGCACAGCTGTCTTCATCAACTTCCATAATCCTGATTTTTTTCAGTCTTGATGGGCTTCATGTCTTTGGATTTCTCTTAGATTTGTTTTCAGGCCAGGTGGTAGACCTTTCATACTGTAGCTAACACAGTGAGTATGAAAGGACAGTGACGTTTGTGAGCTACATATGCAGCGTGCCATATTATTGAACATCGGGGCATGTCTGTAACCAACTCATCTAAAATCAGCTATGGTGGGTGCAGATCAGCGGTCACTCATACTATCCGCTGAGGGCAAAGTGTGCACCATCACATGTTTGCCTCAATCTATGTTGAGTTGTTAAGGAATCTGATCTCCGTTATCTGTAAAAAGTAACAAAAAGTTCAGAAAAAACAGACTCCATACAGTTCTGTGCTGAAGTCAGATTTCTGTCATTTCCAGTCAATTTTTCAGTATGATGCTGATATCTTATGAAATGGTTTAAAGAACAGAGGTTTGGTTGAACGCTCAGGGCCTTCAGATTTGTTCAAATCCACAGAAGCACACTTGATTTAATGAAGCACTGAGTAGCCAAACCAGGTATGGGATATTAATTACAATTAATACCAGGCTGCTACGAGGGGAGGTTTGCCAAGGGTTAAGTGAACACATTAACATACATCAAATTACTATTTACCGCATTAACGTTGCTTGTATGTATTCTAATATTAAATGTTTATCTGAGTGAAGAGTTAAATAGGTTCATAAAAATAATTTTCTCAGGTGCCTAAGGCTTTTGTACAGTACAGTACAAATTTAACAGAAAATCACACACAAGCTTCTACAACTGAAATATTGAAGTATTTTGTGTGTCCACTCTTTGCCTTCATTGCAGCTTTCATTCAGGAGGCATTCAGGTTATCAAAGAAATCTGCTGGAGGCATTTTTCCACTCCTGTAAAGTTCAGTCTTGGTTGGTTGCATTCTCTGCTTCTCATGTTCCATGTAATCCCAAACACAATCAGTGATGTTGAGGGTCTGGACTCTGGGGTGGTCAGTCCATTGTTCTGAGAACACCAGCAGCTTCTTTTGTCTGTTTCCTTTTCTCAGTAAGGGCTTCTTGACTGCTACACATCCTTTCAGACTCATAGTGTTGAGTTGCTCTTACAGGAAATTAAATGAAATAAGGGCGTCTCTTATATTCGCAGTGTACAAAACCACATGATCAAGTCTGCTAAAGCCTATTAAGACATGGTTTGTACTCTAGACCTATAAATTGAAAACATTAAAAAGAGCTGGGACTGGATTTATGAAAGTGTCTTAAGAAAATCAAGTGGTATCCTTCAAAATTTTATGTTCTTTTATGTTTCTTAAACTTAGGATAGCCTCACACTTGTCTTACGCTGTAAAAGTTGACAAACTGAGCATCTAAATTTATCATGGACACTACCTCTACTCATCTTTGTCCGTCATCCGCCAATTAACAGATTTTCCAAGGATTTTTTTTCCTTGTTGGCTGATTCTTCCACCATTTCCACTAGTTCTTGTTTGCTAAAAAAAATTTTAAAGACTTTTTTTGACGTTTTTCCTCTATTTTACTGGCTTCTGAGCGAATTAAACTAAAAACAGTTTGAATTCGTATTAACTATCTTGCATCGTTCATGGTACATGGTAAAATGCAACGTAGCCTACATAAGAAAACAATGATTTTCTTAAGAAAATCTTAAGGAAATAATTAAGATTATCTTAAGAGAATATTTGAGAACCTAAGTTTTTTTTTAATTGCATTTAATTTAATTGCAAGTTTTTTTCTTAAGAAGCTTTTGTAAACCCGGCCCCAGGTCCACTGCAGTCTGTGCCACAACATAGAAGCAGCTGTTATTTACTACCAACTCACTCGATGTGTAGCACCACTGTGGTGACATCTGATTGCACTTAAACAGGACTGACAGCTTTTCCAGGACACCTTCATAGTTTTTTTTGCTGAAATAAATACTCAAATACTTCAGACACTCCCTCTCCCATACTAACTCTCACTCAGGCTTTGACCAAACACTCTCACATTTGTCCTGATTAACCTTTGCTAAGGACGCTCTCTCATAACCTCTCAGCCTCCTCATAAACGTGAGCATAAGTGAGGACTGGTCATTTACAACTTCTTGTCAAATGCCCCACCATATTCTAGTATGTACCGTGGACTATAAACGTCCACATATTGAACAGTGATGACCTGAACTGTGCCTGGTGCACAAAACCATATAACAACAAACGATAACATCACAAGCTACATTTATTGAAGAACAAGTAAAAAGTAGAGTATGTAAAAAAATACAAAACCTGCTTCATATATCTCTAATAAGGTCAATACAAAGTGCATAGCTACCATACATGCCTGTAGAGTACAACTAAGGGACTACGCTGAAGGAAAGTAACAGGTATGTATTGGGCATGATTTTACCTGAAGGAATAAAATTATAACATACAGTTTTATTCAGCATATAACTTGCATTTGCAAAAAACATCAAAGATCAGGGTTGCTTCATACTGGGATGAGGCTGAAATGTGAAATCTATGTAAAGCCATGAGCTGTGGTACAATGGAAAACTCCTCCTGCATCAAAAACCAATGAAACTTAAAAAAAACAAACAAAAAAAAACAAAAAAAAACATGATAAGTATTGCAAATAAATATGAAATAAATAATACACAAAGAGAATATCATAACCGTTCAGTTCACCATCTCAAAGTATTTACAATTAATGAAGTAGTATACTGTGACAGAGACTACTGTAGATGTAGAGAACAGACTTGTAGATATTTAGAGCTCCATGTACACATCATGATGGCTGAAAGTGGAAAGATCACCATGTCATTCTGTAATACATCAACGTCCAGGCCAACAGAGCTGCGAACACCGATCAAAACACAGATTTACAAACAGAAAAACACAGAAAAAATGTCAGTTAAGAAACAGAGAGAGTACAAGTACTGATGTAACTGAGTGTTTTTGTGTTTTGTTTCCTGACCCACATTAAGCCTAAGTGTAGACTAAAAAGAATGTCTAACAGTGATTTCCCATTAGTTTCCAATTTAGTCCAAGATTAGACACAATCCATGGCAAGAAAACTGCTCCAAGGTGTTTTGCTTAAAAAAATAAATAAAACAACAAAATAGCAGTTACAAACATTCATACATTTTGTAAGCAAGAATAAATGAGTTATTACTGAAAATGGTCTAAAAATCAACGCTGAAACATACTGAAGGATTATTAAGAGGGAAGCCTCTATAGTGCCATCTGTTGGAATGCAAAGAAAATACATGCAGGTCAAGAATGAAAAACACTGATAATTTCACCAGGGCTAACTAGATCTAACAGGGTTACAGATCTACAGAGAGGAGAAACCTGGGCAAAGCTTAAAGAATAACATTCCACAAATAATCTTACAGTAAAAAAAAAGAGGAAAAGCCATTATGGGGACTGGACCTTCCAGTATTATTGGATATAGAATGAAAAAAAAAGAACAACGTCCCTCAAGAAACCAACCAAGAGGCAAAATGAACAAGTATCTACTTACACACAAAAATGACCCCAAAATATTTTCAATCCTTACAAAACATTAAAAAATTGTTAAACATTTTCAGTACAGTATTTACATATGCAGAAAAAAGACAGGAGGTACTGTTTGTGAGAATGAGTGTATCAGTGAAATTAATAAATAAAACACAATTTTGTATCTAATTCAAAATCATAATTTGTGACCACAATTTAAAAAATTTGATATCTTAGAACAGCACATTGCAGCGAAATAATTTTTGTAATTTTCATTTATTTTTCTACAAAAATATATATATGTGTATATATATATGTATTTATTAGAGCTGTATCAAAACCTGCCCAAAAGATCAGATAAAGCAAATAAAAAATAATCCAGAACTCTGTAGAAGGCCATGCAATACTCATGCAGATTCTCTTTAGGACAATGGCTTGCTTTGCTTTCATGCATGACATGGATATTGCTGAAGATTTACAGCTCTTCATATATTTACATTAGTACATGAGTGTGGTTGTAAAAACCATGCAAAGTTTTTATTTATTATTTCATCTTTTTTCTTTTTTGGTTGGTCTTGCTTAGCTTGCCTCAGCAGCATCGTAATGCTGAGTGAGGGCATGTGCGGTAAAACACTGACTTGGGATCAGTTTTGCTGACTGGCCTACAATGTCTGAGGTCAGAATGGAAGAGAGAGAACTTTTGCTGTAATCAGTGCTCAAGCCTGAGATCCAAGTCCAGAAAAAAAAAACAATAAAGCCTGAGACACAGATAGAGTGAGAACAGAGATCAAGGGAGTAAGAGAGAAATACGTAAATACATATACAATTAAAAGGGAGGAAGATCTATATATATATATATATATATATATAGATATAGAGAGAGAGAGAGAGAGAGAGAGAGAGAGTGAGAGAAGTGAGGTTTCATTACACTATGGCTCAATCCTGTAAGTTAAAACTTCTTAAAAAGCTTTTCTCTGGCTGAGCACTTATTCCCCTCACTATATCTTCACACTGTATGTAGATCCAGCATACTGAACAGGAAATAGAACAAACATATTTTCAAATGGAATAGTGAAGAAAGAATAAGAAAACAGATAGTTTATCCATCTGTTAAGGGTTGTGGGCTATAAAAACACAATTAAAGAAGCCTTGAACAATAAAGAGACCATTAAAATATATAAATTATATATATATATATATATATATATATATATATATATATATATATATATAATAAAACACACTATCAGCAGACTCACATCAACAGAATTCCACCCCACCCCACCCACATCACCAAAATAAACTAAAACAAAAACTCAGACAAGGTTCCAGCTGCTCTTGAATTGAAGGCAATCTGAGAGGAGTTCTTTAAGAGTGCCGGAGGACGACGTCAGCCCCCAAACCCTCAAAGGCTTCCTTAGAATGCCGAATCAGTTCTCCGTGAAAGGGTCCTTACCACTCCTCCTCCTCGACCTCCCTTTTGACCGGCAGAGCGGGAGAGAGTGGCTGGGGGAGCGGAGAGGCCAGCAGGCTCTGATCAGCCGGTCCTTCCTCTTTCACTAGATCCACCTCCTCTTCCTCCTGCTCCTCCTCCTCCTCCTCCTGCTCCCGATCCTGTTTCTTCTGACAGCAGGGCTTGTAGAGATGAGGGTCAATCAGCACTTCTCCGAAGCGACCTTTGTAGATGATGCCGCAGCACACTCGCTGCCTAAAGACAGTCAACACATAGCACTGTAAGCCAACTGCCCTTCACACCAGATTAGACCCTATACTTCCATTATTCAGTATAGCCAGAGGCTAAAAGAGTGGAAGTGAAGTCAAACAGTTTGAGGAACTTATTACAGTATTGATTATTGTAGTCAGTTCTTCAAACTGTCTGGCTCACAGTTTATGTTGCATAACCAATGGAAGTCACATGACTGACATCTGACAGCTGGCTTCAACGATTAGAACAATAGACGGCCAAGAACAAAATAGCGATGCTTTGGAATTTTTGCTGAACATTTTAACTGAAAAAGTCATACTGCTTGCATTTTTAAGGTTATATATAACTGACGCATTCAAACCTGTAAACAATAACCTGCAATTGTTTTTTGCCCTCAGTATATCAGAGTAACATCCTATTTAAAGGACTAAATTTTCAATAGTTTTTTCATTACCATATAGTTTCTAAAACGAACCCTTAAACTCTAGACCGTTATTCACTTATTAATCTTAAGGATGCACTCCAGCAGCAAATACCTGAGTGGCACAAAACATCATTAGAAATGTCAGTGGACAGCGAGGCGTGCCCTATGTACAGTGCAGCATGATGTGACGTATTATTTTAATACCCATAAATCATAAAGTTGCCAGGGTCTTAAACAGGGAGAGAAGGCTACTATATGTAGTGATGAAAATCTTTTCCCGACAGTATTCTCCTACTCTGGAACTGCAGAACAGAGCTTATTTCATCATGCAAATGTCTATGATGTACGTGTTTGAGTCTTTGGAGTGCCATGTTGGGGCAAAAACTGCTAATGTCAAAGACAGCTGTGAATGTTTCACGCAGAAAACCTGCAATTCGCTTTATAAGTAGCCTTTTGTCATCTGATTAGCAAACATATGGAAATTTGCAGCATTGTTAGTGCCAAGCTAGCAGTATTGTATTAGCTTACAACACAGACATATGAAGTTCGTAACAGGAATACGAGTAAAATATTCTTTATTCTGTTTGCAGTTTTACTGTGATTCTCTCTGTAAAGGTTAGAATTCTAAGCCTTTTTTCTAATTACTGATGAAGCAGCCCATTAGCCTATAAGCTATCTGCTCTTAATCTTCTAAGGGGCGCAGAACACAGTCCAGTTTACGAGAATATAAAGTGTAAAATGGTCAAATAGAGCCTGTTAACATCCAACATGTTTAACTGATTGTTCTTCATTTCGTTGCTTTTACAGACATGAATTTCAGCAATAACATGCAGTGAAATGATGTGGCACTGGAAGGATATTTTGGGTAGCATCCACTTAACTTTGCCTGGAACAAAAGGACTTAAAGGAACAGGTCAAATTCAGACACTATCAAATTGACTAATAACCGTGTTAATTTTAGTATTTAGACCCTTATTTGATTTTTATATAGATGAACACCCAGTAAATGAAATTCGACACTTCCGACAGTTCCTTTTCATTATTTGGTAACTACTATAATTTATTAAACCCACTAGAATGAATGTTATGAGGAACAAAAAAAAATAAAAAATCAATTCAGCACTTGATTTCTATTTTTCATCCACAAATTTTCATTTTGGCACATCGCTACATACCCAAAATATCACTGAATAAAATACCTTTTCCAGTAGGTCAGGTCTAGGAAGGAAAAGACTGGGGATCGAGAGGAGCCAGGAGTGAGCTCAGAGTCAGAGCCCTCGTCTGATTGGTTACTGTAGCTGGGAGATTGGGCCGGGCTGGCGCTGGAGGTGGTGCTATGAGCGTCAGAGTCTTGACAGAGAGAGCATTCATTTACGGTCTGAACATCACACCAGCAGTTTTGCAAAATCAAATGTAGCAATTTTCCAAAACACATGAACATGTTATCCAGAATAAACATTTTAAAACTTATAAATAATTGTCATGTATTAAGTTAATTGTAAACGGAACACACATCTGTCTACCAACTGATTAATAGACATAAGTGATGTCTACTCACTGTTCCTTTTCAGTTCGTTCTGCACTCGGCAGATTTGATTTGGCCTGATCCTCCTGGAGAGAGACTTCACTTTTTAGACTTCACCGTCATCTTTAGACTGGGTCCACCTCGTGCGTCAACCACCTGTAGCACGTTAGCATTAGATCAGACCAGATATGACAAGTTCAGTTATACAGTGTGCTTTTTGAATTTAACGCCCAAATGCTGCGGGTCAATCATATTTATAATAAGACAGTAATGATGAGTGGCTCCCGTCTTGGTGCTTACATGATTCCAGTTCTTTTTGGATCCAACAGGAAGCTTCTTCCAGCGTTTCACCAGTAGCACACAAGCATTGCAAATTTCACCAGAACGTGTTTCGCCAAGTCTGCAGGAACATCAGACCACAATGTTTACTAAATTTTGGCCCATTATGTGAAAATTGGTTACTTTCTCAATATTTTTACTAAGTGTTTTGAAATAATGTCATATTTTCTTAAGATTTTGTCTGATTATATCAAAATAACTGCTTATTTTCTTGAACCTTTGACTGATTATGTTGAAATTATGGCACGGTTTCTTGACATTTTTATAGACTCCATTGAAATAATGACATATTTTCTTGAGATTTTGACAATGTCAAAATGTTTTATTTTCTCGAGCGTTTGATGACGTTGAAATAATGTCTTATTTGCAACAGGACATTTACACAATGCTCTAAACAATAAATGCATCGCTGTTCTTATTATACACTTATAATCATTAAAGACAGACGTGCAAATTATTATAGCTGACTAATTTTTTTAATAATGTTTAAAGATAGTTCAAGTACATTTTATTATCATCCCCCAAACAGTCATCCCTCGCTTTCGCTCATAATTGGCGCCCATTACCAAAGCCACATAAAATTTGTCGGCAAATTAAATGCATCTAGCATATTTCAGTACTCAGCCCACAGTCGACTGATATAATGTAACAACCCATATGAAGGTGGTCCTCATGGATCACCAGCTCACCCGAAGCAGCTCTGGAAGTCTCTCTCGTAGCGTTTGCTGTCCGTGAAGCGCGAGCTGGAAGACTTTGCCCTGCAGATACAGCAGCCGTCCAGACTGCGGTACATCTTCGGCTTATGAAAGCCAAACATCTAAAGCATAAGGGTGGGATAAGTAATAGTGGAACTGTAGACGCTGTGACAATAAATCACTACAAGTTCATCACTGCAAACCTGGTGTGCAACCAATTCAAATAAAATCAATGTAATAAATCAGTTAGATCTTTCTCCTCATTTAGCTGACTCAGCCATTTGGCTTTTAGGCCTAACAGTTTACATGTGATGTGTTCAACAGGTTTTCATAAAGGATTAAGAGAGGAATGTCTCAGTCTTAACTAGTTCTTTGATCTGATGGACGCTCTAGGTGTGCTTGTCTTGGCAGTGTTACAGAAACAGTGGAAACAATAGTGGAGCAACTTTCTGAACTAAACTGCTCTGCATGTCAAACCAAATGTTACTTCAATACTGTATTTCAAGCACTTTAAATGACAAAATCTTGTTGAATATGTTGTTCATAACCCAACTTAGACATTCTGTTCATGGAGAAAATGTATCCAAATCTAACCTCGCACTTTGTGCACAACTCATCTTTACACATATTCTTTGTGCATGAGCATTGAGGTCAGGATCATATTACAATAAAGACTTTTGCCACATGGTCTTTGTGATTTCCACATATATTATATATCACATTTTCTGCTGGTAAGCCAAGTCATCTATTCTTAAGTCACAGGGTGTGTTACACTAGTTATATAAGAATATTATGCCACAGCAACAATAAATAGTAAGACAAATTAATACAGTAGATATTAATGACAGAATACAGTAATATTTAGATATTTTATACAGTAAATGTTTGGGCTTGTCTAAGACTTTTCTCAAACTATATGTGAAATGTACATGTTAAAACATACTGAAGTAACATTTCTTCCAAAAGAAGATGTATGATTGAACACTGGACTTTACATTGGCTATTCGTAGTGGTCATCACTTTCTACACCGCCAGAATATGTTTTGCAGTTCAACTCTTTCAGTGCTCCACAGATTCAGTTCATTTCTATAAGTTTATGTGGGACAAAGTGGATATTAGTGACTTTCTGGGCTCCCATAGAGATAGAGAGATAGAGAGAGAGAGAGAGAGAGATGACCTAGACAGTAGCAGTGGGCAGAGGCAGTGCCAGTCTGTAGTCAGGCTGAGCGCAGAGCTGGACTCACTGCGGCTAAAGCTCGACTTACATAAGCAGAGAGAGGAAGGACGACATCTGTTCAGGATTCAGATGCCAAACATCGTGCGCTTAAAGTGGGTCGTTACTGCACTTTATTAAAGCTCAGAGTCCAAACTATTAATGGAGAAACAAAAGTCACGTGCGCTGTAATAACATTTCTATAAGAGTGTTATATAAAGTCAGAGTGCAGTTTCTCCCGGGGGCTCGCGCAGGCTCCGCTCGGTCTCCTCCGCCGCCTGAGTAAGCCCCTCTGACGGAGTTCAAACATGGCCACGCTTCTCTGAGGGGAGGAGACACACAGAGAGAAGTGGAGCACCGACTACTGTGAGTGTGTGGCCGCAGATAAACCGCCACGGAGCACCCGAACAGCTCGGCGTATTCGCCCGGGCTGCTCCAGCCTGCCGTCCGGGCAGCTGCGAGCGCAGACCGCTCCGAAACAGACAGCGTGGACGACGAGAGCGACTAGCGAGCCGCGTCGTTCGACGCGGAAGCATGGCGCGCGCACACAAACGTACAGACATGCGCGTGTGCGCTGTTCTCGTCGCCCGACTCAGACTCAGCAGCTCCTCTCTCCCTCCTCTCTATCTGCTCAGCAGCAACGGCAGCAGCTCCTCAGGGAGCGGGTCTGAGAGAGCCGCGCGGACCGAGTGCTGGAGGTGCAGCTGTGTGGCCGCTGAGTGAGTGAGCGAGCAGTGCGGCTCCACTAACGTTGCTCTGCTCTTTGTCTTCAGACAGCCGCTCTCTCTCCCTCTCCCTCTCTCTCCGCCCCGTCAGCGCGGCTCCAGCTCAGCGGTGTAGGCGCGAAATGCTAATGCGGCCGTGAACTCGGGACGCTGCTCTTCGGTCAAAGCCAACGTTAGTTTCATAAAAACAAAACTTACAGAACCGTAAATGTGTGTCTGTGAACCGTAAGAGACCCGTCAAACTCAAAATAAGTTCACAATAAAAAAATGAGGCTGAACTTGACTTCCTATCTGCCAGCTTCTGACTCAAATTGACCCGCTCCACCTTAAACTGTACAGCAGCGACATTCTGACGCCTCATTAAATGGTGCAGCAGCTACGTTCTGCAGTACTATTTAAGGTGGAACGGGAAAATCCGAACTAGAAACTAGCGATTAGAAACCCAAGTTCAGCTTCGTCAATTAGAGGAGCTTTATCGATCACGCAGCCGATCTGTAGTCGATCTGTTATTGCTGTTATTATTGTTCAGGTCCAGGTGACTCGCTTTAGTGAATTATAAATGTAGGCCGGCCAGCGCTCAAAACGCAGGTTTGTTTTGAAGCACACCCACCAACAGAGGCGTAGGTGTGTGAGACCACACACACACACACACACACACACACAGCACCAAAGCAACATTACAGTCCAAACCGGACAAAAACAAGGTAAGTTTGTCCAGAATGCAGTTTTATTGCCCACAGCGTGCAGAAACCGTTGAGTGTGGGTCTGGTTCGGCTGTCTGTCTGTCTGTGGGGCGAGTTCGTGTCCACGGTGAACGCACGTAGCTAGTTGAGCACCGCGATGAAAACGCCGACGGTGCATTTAAAGGGACGGAGTAGCTCTCGAGAAACACGCCTGTAGCCCACGTTTACAGTCTAATGTGTCCCAAAAAGTACACCAGCAGGCTAAACCCGAGCTCAGAAGATCTCATCTGGTATCAAACACAAGCAACACCGTGAGCAAGAGCCGCGCGCGCCTTAAACTGGCATGGCGAGCAGCGCACGTGCCCAACGCGCACACAACCGAGCAAACTAAACACTGCAAGCAGCTCACTGCACACTTTAAACAAGCGCCAGAAGTGCTCTTCTTTCCCCTCTCTCACTGGACCGAACCATTCTGACAGAAGCGGTCCGGTCCAGTCCGGCTGGGTCTGGCATTGTCACACTAAACTTACTTAGGGGGCCTCTCCCCCTCTTCTCCTCTCTCGCTCTCTCTCCCTCTCCTCTCTGTCACTCCATAGATGCGCTGACAGTCGTCAGCAGGCCAAAACAGCGCAGTTACTGCAGAGAAAGTGTTACTCTTACCTCGGCTACCGGGGACACACGGCGACAGAAGCGAATCAAGCGGGAAAACCGGAGAACTGAACTCGCTCCACACGTTAGTCATAAAACAATGCGCCACTGCCCGCGCACGCCGCTCTCCGTCCTCACCGTCTCACTCTGTCTGCCCGTAGTAAAGCCTCTGCGCATGCGCGCCGCCCCGGCCTCCATTTTCTGAATTTCTTCAATCAACCTCATTTGCATACGCCGCGACGTCGCGCCGCGTTCACGTTCTTATTGTCCATATATGGAAGAGAAAATTACGCGGGAAACGAGGGCGGGTCCCGTTGCCTGGAAACGCAGCGTTTCAAATCCGTGCGTTGCGTTGCGGGTGGGCGGAGCCGCCGTCCGGCCGTTACTCCGGCAGCAGCTGCGCAGATGTTGGAGCGAAAGGCCAGCAGGAGCAGCAGCTCCTCTCTCAGACAGGCAGGCTGGAGGAACAAGAACAGATACCGAACTCTCAGCAGAGCTGCAGCTGCTCCACTGTGTTTATACGGAAGGACATTTTAAACCCGGCTGCGCGGTTCAGTGCAAAAACTCAAACGAGCTGAATTTTAGGTGGAAACCCGAGCGGTGCGGAATTACATAAGCACTCAGTGTTGTTATCTCAGCCCGCATTGGCAGTTATCTAACTCAGGACAAGAGACTCATAAAGCTGACGGGTCTGATTCTGTGTTTTTGTTTTGGTTTAGGTTACATCAGTTTAGTTATCCGGGGAGATTTTACTCAGTTCATCAGTTTCTAATCCTCCAGTAGTGTTATTTCTGAAGCATGGCTCTCAGGGTGACTGTAAGAGATGTGCATTTATTATCACAGTTTAATTTTATAACAGTGTTTTAAAAGTGGCACGATGGGCTTAAACACCCCCAGTGTTAAATATCAACTACTGGATGTCTTAACGCTGTACACCGCTCTACTCAGCTAGAGTATGTGCCAAAACATCTTAACCTATGGCTGTTCTAGCAAAATAACTGAGTTAGAGCCTTAGAAACAGAATCACTGCTTTGTCATCAGAAAGTTCTTGAGAAAAAAGTTTGTCCCCCTCTCCTGAAAAAAAACAACAACAAATAAATATATATAAATACATAAGTAAGTAAGTGTCTAATAGTCATAGTCAACCCCATGTTTTTGGCTGTAAAGTAGCACTACGGTTTTCATGTTAAATATATTAAAAAGTCATTGTAATTAACTCTAAAGAAAAGTTATTCTTCCAAGGGCACAGATTATATTTGTACTAGCTTGATTTACATGTTAGCATGTTAATCCCATGTTGATTAGCTGTGTTGTGGGTCTGAACCATAGGCATTATGTAATTATGCCATCTGTATTGTAACGTAACTGCATTGTCTAAACACCAAAGTTTGCTGTCAGAACCCAGTAAATCCACTTCAGCATTGTTAGTAAGTTGTGCAACAACATGATTATAACCATCATTCCTCTTAACTCAGATTTTTTTAAAACATTGTGAGAACACTGCATTGTGAACCCAGTATTATTGATCAGATTGAGTCATGGGGCTGATTGTATAGCTACATTCCTAATGGGTATAAGGCATTTCACTGTAATAAAGTTGTATTATCAGATTTTAAGATTGGAATACTTCAAAAAAAGGTCATCTTAGTTCCCAGAATTAAAATTTGTTGGCTTATGGACAGTGTGCACATGTCAACTTTTTGCAAGATTATTACTCATTCAAATGGATTTCTCTTTTTTTATTTTTTGGAAATTCACTCAAGCCAGTTTATTAAATTCACCTGCTCTTTAGTTGCAGACTGTTACACTGTTGTTACAGTGTTGTAACATGCATTTGGAAATAATGTTTATGCAAACATTTACAAACATAGCTTAATTGTGGTGCCTTTCTGTGAAACAGTGCTTAGTCAGTGCCACACCAAAGTCAGTGCTTTCTTCGTGGGTAGACTTGTGTTTAAAGACAGAGTTCATAAGCAATTCATGTGGCGAATGTAGGTTTGTTTGTTTGAAATTGGCTGAGTTTTGATTTTCTTCTCCTTCTTCTAACTCCTCTCATTATGTTTGACCCAGACCCAATTCAAACCAACTGCACTGCATACTTTAAACATACATTTATAAAGGTTTGCATATGCATTTATATAAACATACACAAACTATCCAGACAGCACACGCCTTGTTGCCAAAACAGGTCTTTCATTAAAGAGGGCCACTGGAAGCACATCTGAACTCAGTACAAGACATTTGACAATCTCTCAAAGGGGAGAACTGTCCGGTCTGAATTGTTCGTCTGGAATTTGTATAATAGTACCACTATTTTCATAAATGATGAATAATACTTTAGTTTTATCTAAAAAATAAATACACAAACGCTATATTTTCTGTAAGTTGTGTCTGCAGTTACGTCTGGGCATTAACTATATGCGGTGGACTACAAACCCATTTCCAACAAAGTTGCAAGGGTAGAAAAAATGTAAATTAAAAAAGACAGCAAGTATTTACAAAACCTTTTTGACCTGTATTCAATTGAAAACAATACAAAGACAAGATATTTAATATTTCAGCTAATGTACATATATGTGCTTAATCTAAATTTGATGTCTGAACATATTCCAAAAAAGTCATGTTCAATGGACAAGACATGTTTACCCCGTGTTACCTCACCATTCATTGTAACAACGTTCAGTAATTGTTTGTGAATTGAGGACACTAGTTGTTGTGGTTGTGAAAGTGTATTTTTTCCCCATTTTTGCTTGACATAACACTTCAGCTGCTCAACAGTTCATTCAGACATCTGCAGAATGTGGTGCGGCATTGTCTTGCTGAAACAAGCAGGGATGTCCCTGAAAAAGATCAGGGTCATCTAGATGGCCGCATATCTTACTCCAAAATGCATATGTACCCCTCAGCATTAATGGTGCTCTCACATAGGTGCAAGTAACCCACAAATACCACTGCATACCATGAAAAAAGCTGGCTTTTGAACTTTGAGTTGGTAACACTGGGGATGGTGGGGATTTTCTTTTTTGGCTTGGAGAAAATGACCTCCTTTATTTCCAAAAAACAGCTCGGACAGATGGACGGATCACAGCACACATTTCCACTTTGCTTAAGTCTGTTTCAGATGAGCTTTAGCCCAGAGAAGTTGGTGGTGTTTCTGAATGTTGTTGATATATGGCTTTTGCTCTGTGTAGTGGAGTCTTAACCTGCATTTGTATGTGCAGCGACGAACTGTATTTACTCACCAGGGTTTTTCTAAGTATTTCTGAGCCCATGTGGTTATATTCATTTAATGCAGTGCCATCTGAGGGATTGAAGGTCATGAAGGGCATTCAGTATTTGTTTTTGGCCTTGCCATAAGCAGTTTAGATGATGTGTGTGTGTGTATGTATGTATGTATGTATGTATGTATGTATGTATGTATGTGTGTATGTATATGTGTGTTCTTAAACTGTTGGACTATTTACTGACAGTTTTTCACAATGGTGTCTGAGCCTTTCGTAAAAGCTCCTTTTATACCCAATCATGGCAGCATCACCTATTACCTATTCACCTGTTTGCCTATTAAAGGTTCCAAAACAGTTTTTGATAATCCCACACATTTATCAGTCTCAGCTGCTATCTCAACTTGTTTTGGAATGTGTTGCAGGAAATTTGGAGTTAGCACACATTAACAAAAATCAATAAAGCTGATATGGTAAAATATGAAATCTCTCTTTTGTGCTGTTTTCAATTAAATGCCTATAAAAAAATTGTTTACAAATCCCTGCTTTCAGTTTTATTTACATTCCACCTACTGTCCGAACTTTTTTGAAATTGGGTTTATGCTATAAAAGAAAGGGATTGTTCTAAAGTAAAGCTTCAGAATTTATACAGATGTTACTTGTAACATTTTGTGAAGCAATGAACACGATTTAGACATCACATTTTCTCAAAATTACCTTTGTAAACAACTTTGTAAATGTTATTTATAATAAGTGAGTAGAGTTTGAGTCATGAAATACTGATTATTGCACTAGCAACTTGCCCACCCTGCCTTACACAAAAAGAATCCCAATCAGAAACTCTTGACGTTGTGTGTCAGAATACTGTCAGCTCACAAAAAACAAAAAAAGGAAAAAAAAATGTATATTAAGTTGCTAAAATGAGGAACATACATGAGCACCCGGGTTATTTTAGTTTAAATTATTACAAAATGCAAACTAGCAGTGAAAAAAAAACAAAAGAACTAATCAAAATGATAATGTCAACTGAACAGTTAAACTAAAATGATTACTTTCTAGAAAATAAAAAATTAAATAAAAAATTATGAATGCACTTATAAAATGAACAAACAACCAAAAGAACTTGAAAAAGCTAAAATGAATAGCTAAATAAAAATACAAATAATGACATTTTCAAAACTATAACCCTGGTTCACACACAAATATGACAATATGAACATGTCTCTGACTCTTAGAATCTTTGCGTAGCACCAAATCTGAGCTCTCTGCTCAAAATGTTAAACAGAATCTACAATGCTTCATTTAAAAAAGGAGAAACACGTTCAAAGAGGACAAAAACTTGAACATAGGGAGCGATTTTAATGAGATGTTTCATAAATATCATGAACATTACAGTGACCATTTACCCATTACTGACAGATGGAAGAATCCACTCATTTCAAATTTCCAGTAAGGAAAGTTCACAATGCGATCGAGAGGAGAGGAAAAGGATAGAACTGCCTAAGTACTCAGAAGGTAAAAGAGAGAGCTAGGCCGAGACCCTGGAACGGGTCTAAATGAGGACAGAAGAGGACTGGGGCTTGAGGCTGGACTCACTAATCTACAGCTAAAGCTGCAGCTCCGAGCTCTAAAACATGTAGCATGCAATAAGCACTGAAGACAAAAGGGAATGATCCAGTGTTTTACCTCTTCTCTACAATGCAACAGGCAAAGAAAAGTTTAACTTTGGCGGGGGGGGGGAGATTTGGATTCAGTTCAGTCTTACACAGGCAAACATATACTGATAATACACACAGTTTGAACCAAGACTAATTAGCAGATATGATACGAAATAAATAACTGATACAGTATCACATTGAAATGATCCAGTTCCGCACATCCTGCAAATCAACCAGTGTCGCAAATAGCATTGTTAAAAAAAAAAAATACATAGAAATGATGCAAGACGTTAAAAAATGAAAGCGTGCTCGAGTTCATTCATGCACCCTCTCACGTACTTAAACACGGGTGAACAAGTCAAGACTTCAAATTAAAAGAGATCAGTCATCATCAACTTCAGATATTAACCAATGATTTATTTAGAACTAACCATAACAAACTCACTGACCCCTGTAACTATTGTTTTCTGTCCATGATACTTATTAATGTCCACCAATTGAAAGATTTCCAGTATTTAAACTTTATATTTCTGCGAAATCTACGTTTTCGTGGCCTTAAAGCCTCAATCAGGATGAGGATAATTTGAGATGTATGTACATGTTTATATTTTGGGAGGTCAGAGATCAGAGATTCTGTTGCCTCTTGCCAAAGTGCTCAAAAGGTAAAAGCAACCTGACTGGACCAAATAAATTCCAAAACATCCTGAAATGGGGCTTTAAAAACTGTGACAAGTTCTATGTGGGGAGGAAATGGTAAGAGATAGAAAGCTGGCTGTTTACATGGATAAATACTTCTGTCCTTAAGAGAGTGGGAGATGGCCGGGCGCATTATTGCTGATCTATTTCCAGTGTTTTCTCCGAAATACAAAATTCAAGCTTTATGTTGATTTACTTCAACACAAACCAAGTTAATACTGATTGGCAAAATACATATATGCACACTCACACATTCACACACTCACACGAAATGACAGAACGCATACTGAGACTCAACCACAGTATTTTCGCTTGGTGTCGCTGGAATGTCATTTCCTTTAAACCACCGCAGGTTCAGCTTAATCGATGCAGCTGAGCCAAACCTTTTGTAGATGACCACTTTATAACAGTCCATTGAAGCAGATGCTTTCCTTGCAGATCAATCGCCAGTCAAGAGTGACAAAACAAATATAGACTTGTGGGCAACATCTAACCCGAATACTCTTAATTGTCCTTTAACAGTTGTGCAATGTGATTTAGCTCCAGCCTCCCGTTGTAGGAAGGAATACAGAGACACAAGAAGCCTGTCAATGCTAAAGGTATGCATCAAATAACAATAACAAAGCTAATCTTTAATACTTTGAAGCAAATTCCTTTTTTTGTGGGTTCATGTGAATTTGATATGGAGCAATCTAAAGGTGGCTGGAAGTCTGAAGGATGAACACAGGAGAAGAGAACTCTCTGCTGTCAAACACCTGGCAAACCATACCAGCAAAATTCAGAACCAAATCCACAGGTCCCTTTGCATCAAATGAACACAGCTTTCGCCAGGAATCCAAACACCCTTAACATCTACCTCTGTGTGAATCTCACTGCAGTGGGGTTTGGGAGAGAGCTGAATAAGTCTGGAGCGCTTTAGTCTCGAGCTTGAGAATTGCTCCCAGAGCCGCGCTGGCCCTGAGAGTGGCAGCAGTGGCAGGAGAGACCAGGGATGCTGAGGGTTTGGGGTGGCTGGGTCTGAAACTGTTTCTAGAGGGGCTACAGGTCCACACCCTTGGTAAGCGAGGTCTCCAGAGTGATGGGGAAGTCATGGAGCGACTGCAGGACGTTAATAAGAGAGCTAACGGCGACCCGGTCGCGCAGGAGGGCCGTCTCCTCATACATCCGCGTGATGACGGGGCACTCCACCAGCAGAGGGATCCAGTTAGACAGCAGTCGATCTCTGAACAGACAGAAGGAGAGGGTAGGTATGAGTTAATGGGCCCATATTGATATATATGTCTTCTTGTGTATTATTTCCACCACCTTTGTAATGTTTGTCTACTTTTAAGTACCAAAAATAAAACAAAAAAAGTCCTAATTCATTTTTACATTGCCGGTTTTCCAGCCTTGGCTAAAGTTTGGACTGAGATGTTGGAAAAAGTAAACTTTATGCAGTCATTTTAAATGTCTGGATCCTTTGAAATGCTTCAATGACACATTGTCTTCTGGAAGCAGTATAACATTTAATCGTCTCATTACAACCATGATTAATTTAAAATTAGCTTAGTTTGCATGTATAGATTGTATGGACTGAGGGGTGAATGGTACATTTTGAAGATTAACAGTGTATACATGCTATATCATTCTCATATTTAAAAAAAAAGCCAGAATTTGTTTCTTTCCATGATAAAAACAAACCAACTATTGCTAGAATTGTGCACAAACTACAGTTGAGGTACAGCTTTATAATGCACATGCACACATAATGCAATCCTGTGGACGCCCTTACCTCGCCCCAAGGCAAATTAGCAGCTGGGACTTGCCATCCTTGCCGATGTTACGTGATGTGTTGTTGATGGCATTGGCATAACGACAGAGAGAATCGCAAGTCAGGCCAAGAGGCTCAGCTGTTTCCTGCAGATGCCCCATCTGATCAGCACTCTCCATATATACCACTGCTCTCTCTGGTCAAGATACACATACAAACAGAGTTAAATATACACTCATTTTTTTTTTAGATAAAAGTACTTCAAAATGCAGCAGATCTCCATTATATCAGTGTAATGTTAAACAATTCAACAGTGTCCACTTTTTCTCCTCTAAATAAAAACGGCAACCTGTATCACATGAACATGCATGAGCATGCACAGTTAAACAGGTGGTTGAGCTGATGAAAAGATGCAGTATACTACTGCTTCCACAAGAGGGCTCTATGGCTCATGAACTTAATACTGAAAGGTGGAAAATTGATAAATTTTTCATGGAAGTCCTTTGTGCAGCCCTGCATCATTACCCTAACATGATCTACTTTGTAAGCACCAGCTTCCAGAGTTGAGAGCTAGTGGAAAATTACATTAACGCAAAAGCTTTGGCTGGGACACAGACATGTATGTAAGAAGCTTCCAGCACAAGACTTTGTTTTGTGCCTAAAGAACAGAACGAAAGACAAATGTTCCTCTAATCACATTCCGACATTTTCTGATTCCTACAGATGACACGCTGGCTTACATTACATTTACTAGAGGTTCTACTACACAAGCTCACCTAGGAAGTCCCACACAAATATGTTTTTCTGGAAAAGACGTGCTGTGCGGAAGCCATGGTAGAAGAACTGCTCCAGTGCGCCTACCAACCCACCCTCTCCACACAGCAGAACAGTCAGACTCCCTCTCTGACAGGAAGAGAAGAGAAAGAGGAATCAGAGACGGTAAAAAAACACACAAAGTGGCAAAATATCTGAGCGTACACACATACACACACCTCTTTCTCTGGTTTGTGAAAATGTTTGATGATGTTGTTCACTGCCTCACTGATGGCTTCCTGTATCTGATCTGTTGTTGGTTCTAGAGAGACATCATAAGAGAAACTGTCAGTCATTGTAATTACAATGATAATTAAAATTATAATTACATTAGTACAACACAAAAACATTCTTTAAAGCCCCAGGGAACGTGGTGTAAAATGCTTAAAGCTTGTATGATACTAAACTTGAGTGTTATATAAACATCCAACAAACACAGAAATATGATTAAAACACCGCTCAAAAACAAGCTGAATTCACTGATCACATCACATGAGTGAAATGGCCACTACGTATTAAGGGAATGTACATACATGCAATGTGGCATAACTGGTTGGAAAAAATGGCAACCAGACACGCAGACAAATAGAAGAGTTCATCTGCAAGCTCAATTAGCTTTTCACTACCCAATTAGCTACTACTACTCTGCTCAGACTCTAAGAGAGAGACTGAGGGGGGATGCACTATGGTTGGGACAGGCCCATGAGCTTTAACCAAGATTTGGACTGCCTGATTTACACTGAAAGGGCAGAAAGTGTGGTGGAATACATTGACAATTTATCACACATTGAGAAGTTATTCATAGGGCATATTTGTACATGCACAATACGTGCCCACAAGACCACGACTAACCAAATTACACTGAAAAAGTGTTGCTTTGAATATACTCAATTCAAATGTGTACATCAGTTCCACATGAGTATTATACATCAACAGAACTCTTGGCAAAAGCAAGTTAAACAAACAACAGTAATTGTGTTGATGTAGTATATATTATGTGGAACCAACATAAATTCAGTAAATTCAAAACAACACTTTTTCAGTGTAGAGAGAAAACATGAATCTAGGTTCCATGGAGCTTTAAAACATCAGTATGTAAACTGCATAATACAGTATCTTCATTGATCAGCCTCAATGTTCAAACATACTGTTGCCTCGTCCTGTGATGGAGGATATACTGATTCGCCGAAGCTGTGAGGGTGAGCGCTGAGGAGGCGGGGTCTTGCTTCCTCGCACTACCTCCTCATCGCTGCACGGAGCCACTAATTCGCCGATCAGAATTCGCTCCAGACTGCCATCATCCACACCCTTACCGAGCCATCGACCGCAGGGGAACCTGGGAAATGCAACAGATCAAAAATGAGTTCAGGGAACCTAAAAAAAGAGAAAGAGTGTGCTTTATATAGACAGCAGAGGGAGCTACAGGTAATGACAGAGGTGAGGGAGAGGAATATCAGGCTTCGCTCACTTGTATGTATGTCCTGTAATCTCGTTGCGGACCATCACGCAGTCCACCAGCCACTTGGCCAAGAGCCCAGCGTTATCATGACCCAACTGCACGGTGGTCAGCTTCCCCAGGTTCTGGCACTGTAGGGTGCATGCACATATACACACAGAGTATGAGAGCATGTACAGACTATACAATGTCAGCAATGCTAAGAAGGTGTCTGAAAGTGGCTGTGTAAGTGTTTGAGTGAGGGTGTTAGTAAGAAAAGGGGACAGACATGGCAAACACTGCCTTTAAAAGGAACACTCCAGCGTTTTCAGCCTAATATCTATCTGCTGCATCTGTAGCACATAGTCAATTACCATGGCTGAAGCACCTGCACAATGACTGCTATTATAAATGTTTTGACGGGTTTTCAGTTCTACTAAGCACAAGGAAACTGATATTTTCATGTCTGATGGATACAGATTTTGCATATAGCGAATAAGCTGAAAATCCCTGGAGTGTTCCTATAAGCCCAAGTGGCAACATTTGCCAACATTTAAAGTCATGTTCAAACTGAGGCCACCTGCAAGAGAATCCTACAGCACGCAAAGCTACTCATTCTGCTCTGCTAACACAAACCATGTCCTGAGAGAGTAGAGCCACACTAAGATTTTAAAACAATAAAGGTCTTGAATGCCATTTTCATCTCACGGAAATGATAAAAACAGCCTTCATACATAGAAATACAGCCTGCTGCAGAAGAGCACAAGCTTTTTACAAAGCAAATGTCATTTTACAGAAATATTTACAAGCTAAAAAGCTGCTGCATGAAAATGACAAACAAGCCACTGTTAAATGACTAAAGTCTGCATACGTATCCACAAGGTGCCAGTTAAGAAGAACAAGTGAGGAAATGAGAGGAATGCGTGGATGGATGGAGAGAGAAAAGAGGAAATGGGGAGACATGGTTCTCCTAACCTTGAAAAGGGCGGAGATGTGCGTGTGAGGCCTAAAGGCAGACTGGGAAAGGAGACATGATGAGTTAGGACATGATGAATGATTGACAGCATGAGAAATGGCAGTGATTGGCTCTCCTCACTTCAGCATCCCACTGAGACGTGGGGTCACCACAGACTCTTCTCTGATTCTACAGTAAGGCCTTCACCAGCAGCAGCACACACTTACACACACACTACATCACTGTAGAAACCAGCTAACACATGTGAGTCATTCCATGTCAGAGCAGCATGGAAAAACACTTGATGTTTTGATATTCAGTAGTCTGCATTTTCAGTTAGATCAGGGGTGTCCAACCTTACCTTCAAAAGGCTGGCATTGCCACTGGTTTTCATTCCAACAAAACAGGAGCACATTTAATCAGTTGTTGAAAGCTGAGACCAAATGATTAAACAAGCAGAATCAGTTGTGCTCCTGCTTGTCCAGGATGAAAACCTGCAGCCACACAGGCCCTTTACAGATAAGACTGGACACCCCTGACTTATATGCTCTGCAAATGCGCCCATTAAAAGCTTACTAAGTTGTAATTAGACTGGTAACCCTTTGACTTTGTTCTTTTCCTTGTCAGTTATAAACCACGTATCTTTACACACAGTACTGTTTAAAAATCAGATTTAATTTCCTGTCAAAATGACCATCAGGTGAGATCAATTTTCAGCATCAGCATCAGCATTTCTCCACATCTCCAAAGTTCAGTCTGCTTCTCACAAAACAAGTAATCCAAAAACATTCAGTGATGTTGAGGTCTGGACTCTGGGGTGGTCAATCCATTATTCTGAGAAATATCCATTTATCCATTTTCTTTTCTCAGTAACAGCTTCTGGATAGCTACACATCCTTTCCAACTCAGTGTTGAGTTGTACTTCTCACACAGATCTGAAAGAAGAGCAGAGCTCGATTTCTCCTCTCTCTCGAAGATGAACGCTTCAAGAAGACTTGACCTGATGTTGATGGTATTTGTGCTCTACCAGCTCTTGCATGGTTGTCAGGAGTCCCATTTTCTCTATAACTTTTAACCCATTTTGAACTCCTGTTTTTTCTTATGATAATCATATCTAATCTCCTCAGAAACATCTCCTGAAAAATAAATAACTTGTACTTAATGGCAGTTTTAACTGGACATTCGGTGGTCTCTGACTTTACCACAGTACTGTGTGTTGAAATATTTAGTTGATTAAAATTAAAGCCTCTGGAAAATGTAGGTCTCGCACAGTTGTTGACATGTACCTGTGATATAACACACTGTTGTCTGAAAAATGTTCCAGCACTAATTATCACACTGTGAATTAATTATCACTCCAGAAATCTATCACCAGCTCCAAAAATAAAGACAGCAGCAGAACTATGAGCACCATCACAAGTGTATTTATACACTCCATACACACACGTGACTACAATGAGGTTTCAAACAGCAACACAGCAGAGCAAAACAGTGTCAAGATAGGCCTGAAATTAGTAATTATACCATTAAATTAAATGAATTTGATTTAGATAATTAAATTCTGTATATATGTCAATTAATTAAACTGCATTAATAATATATCAATAATACAAAGACAATTTAGGGCCTTAGTAATAATCCTTATAAAATATCTAGTTAAAAGAGATGGAGAGTACTCTGATACAGCAAATGCGTTTCAGCACATGATTTCTAAGACTAATAAATGCTCAGAAAACTGTGCTGTCCGATCTCTTTCTACTAATAAAATGTCTTCTGTTTTGGATTCAGCACTTTCCACATTGATCACTTTCACAATTTATATCAAATAGACTTATATTTAATATTTTAGTGATGCAGGTTCACCCAACCAATTCTATTGTTCCACATTACAAACACGTCTAAAGAGAAACTGAAAATGCACACAGATTACGGAAAAGCAGGCTATAAAAGCTGTATGACTAACACGAGAGGAGAAACGCTCTGATTCAGCTTGTTCTAAAGCCTGTAACAGAGATTCTGCAGCTGCTTCCCAGTCAGTAGCTGTTACCATGAAAACAGCACAGGAGCAGCGTGATGTCAGAACACTCACATCAAACGTCATCTCCAGAACGTTCTTCGGAATCTGCATGATGCCAGAGTCGCCTAATTCACCCGACACGCACACCCACGGGTTTGACGTCGTCATGGCATTGCTCAGCTTCTTAATGGGGATGATGACAGCCCGGTAAGGAATCACTGAAGGAGCAAAACAGAACAGCTTTAGAGAGGAGTGCTGTGAGAGTGAAATGTTTTGTGGATAGCACACTGATTAAAGAAAGCAGTACACAGAGAGGATAACCTTCACAAATTCAACAAGACTGACAAATATTTCTGTTCATGACAGAAACTCTATCACTTCTAAATGAAATAATAAAACCCTCCTCAACCGAGAGGCAGACTGCAAGCTGCATGTTTTCAAAAGTGCCAACACAACGTGGCTGCTTTGGCGATGAGCTTTATCATCTCAAGCATATAATCTCAGAGGTGCACAGTCAATTTTAACAGCTGCTTCCTACAGCTTTGTCTCAGATCTTTCACAGTCATAATAAATAGGATTTTTATGCTCTTAGAAGTCTGAGAGGAATATAAGGACAGCAGACGTGAAGGGAGGAGACGAGAGCAGGGAAAGAATGCGGAGGGAGAACGTGAGGACACCGGACAGATTTAAGGATAAGTATAACGACGAGTTCAGGCTAGAAACAGTCGCTTTAATTGCTTTTCAAAAAACGAAACAAAAACTCTTGCATAAGCAGAATCAACATCTCATTTGAAAAGCACTGCAGCAGTACTCATGAAAAGCCGATGCGTGTATGTGATTGTTGAGTACTCACTGATGGTGGTGAAGACACTGGTAAAGCAGAAATAGTCCACAGCGTTCAGGCTCAGCAGATGAAAGAGAAACTGCTCCTTCTCCTCCTCACATCGTAGGAAGGCATAGCGCTTATACAATTTCCTGCAGACGTGTTAAACACTTATCACACACATTGTTGTTATCATAACTAAACCTCAGAATGCTAATTTAAGATATTTATCATTATGAACCATTTCTACTGGTCCATTCATCATGAAGTGTTCATATACAATGTAAAGGGAAGCTGGTGTTTAGGGCTTAGGGCTGTCAAAGGTAACATGTATTTTTCTAATTTGATGCTTCAACTCATAATGGTGCAAGTTGAAGCTGTCCAGCTGCTTGTGTGCTTCATGTAGCTCCGATATTATCTGTGATTGTAGACTTCTTGTTTAAAAGTCATTTTAAAAGTTGTGTTTAAAGTATGGTAAAATACCTTGGGCACCTTCAGCAGACTATGCTTGCAAACAGTGCTTGCAGGAGACCCATAGATAAATCAACAAGCAGCAAACTAACAAAAGCAAGGGAGCCTCCACTGTATCCACAAGTTGTATAAACAAGAACGAGAGGCTACAATCACAGAGGAGTTGGAACCATTGACTATATATACACACGATATATACTGTATCATATATACACTCGTTAGATGTAACATGCAGCCACTGCTGCTCTCCCTCAATGTCAGTGATAAAAACTGGAAACTGTATTTATTCTGTTGAAATCATGCGAGTTTCAGTTCACGTGAATTCTGCATTCAATAGATGAAAATAATCTTTTTGAATTATTGAAGGCAATAAATACATTCTGATGATGCTGATTTTGTCCACGCATATCATCAACTCATATCAAAAATCTGTCTTTAGACCCAAATAAGAGAAATGTGTTTAATATAAAATAATAAAATTAATTGCAAGTAATTATTTTAATCATTTGACAGCTCTAAAATATGGAGTTACAAGGTTTTGATAAGGAAGTGCAACATGCAATTCGGCAATGTCAGTGTGGATGTACAGCATGGAAAAGTTTGGGCACCCCTGGTCAAATGACATTTTATCTTTGTTTTATTTTTCCAATATGTTAAACTCAGCAAACTAAAATTTGCAGAAAAAATGTATGTGTGTTCTCTGTAGAGGACGTGCTAATTTATTTTCACTTAGAAAAACAACAAAACCTGTCATTTGAGCTGGGGTGTTTGAACTTTTACATATGTGTCTCATACTTGGTTAAGGCCTGGTTGGACAGCAGCTGTTTGAGGTGTTGAGAAAGCAGCTTCTTCTCCAGAGAGAGACGGATCCAGGCTCTCGCTCTGCCCACATCTGTCTTTATCTCCCCCATGTTCTGGATGTGCCTGTGTGAGAGGGGGGGGATGAAAGACAGGACTGAAACACTCAGAGTGTGGGAGAAGTGGGTTAAACCTTATTTTGCTGATGCTAAAAGATTAAAAATAAAACAACCTGCTCACATTTCAGCCATATCTGATAGACAGTGAGTTAATTATTAAGCTTTGTCTTCCTAGTTTAAACTGGGAAAAAGCAGTATAGTTTGGCCTGACTGACTACCTTTAAGTTAACATGAGCAAGCATGTACCGAGCTTCAGATATATCCTTCTCTTATGGAATAGTCTCATGTAAATCTAGTTACATTTTTAATCTCCTCTTTTAGGAATAAGCTACAGCACTGTGAACGTCTTTCTAGAAGCATCTAATGCTGTTCAGCCTGTTTAAGAGGAGCTTTAGAAAATCTGAGGCACCCAAAAAAAAACTCTGGGTACAATGACATTTATTCAACATCTCCCACAATGTACTGAACTAAATTAAATAGTTGGTCAGGGTTTTTTTAAATACTGATGCTATGCACAACATGCTCAGGAAAGCATTGAAAAGAAAAAGCTCATCACTATAACAAAGTTTATCATCATACGACCCCCCTCTAAGTTCAGTGTATTTATATCTGATTGTTCACATTAACAGTTAAGCTTCCATTTAACACACAGTAGCAGTGAATCACCCACCTCATGTCCTGTACTACTGATACGCGCAGTGCTGGCAGGCCGATGGACGACTCGGACTTCCTTCTCTCTTGACCGTTAGACACTGCAGTAGTGGAAATCCAGATAGCAACAGTGATTCAAGTATGTTCAAGTATGAACACACAAAATCATAATGTGTGGGACTGTGTATGTGTGAATGACAGTACCTGGAGACTCAGCCTGTTGCTCTGTTTTCTCCTCTCTGGCCTGGTAGTGCATTAAGTGGGACCACAATGCAGATTTTCCCTATACACAAATGCAGGCATGTGACAATATATCAGATCTGCTTCAATGTATGTGTAATGTAGAAAATATAAAAAAATACACATAAAATACATGTGAGTGTCTTGTCATGCACTGTGAATGTAAAATCACCGGATTTTCTGCTTTATTGATCTGGACGCGGAGTGTTAAAAGGCCCATATCCTGCATTTCTCTTGGATTTTTTATCCCTTGAGGTCCACTTGATATTTATGCAGTTTTATGAACCAAAAATGGTCAAAACTCATTCTGACATGGCCATTTCCCCACCTTTCTTTAGCTCAGAATTAATCAGGCTGATTTTGATACTGTACCCTTAAGACTGTTATATGATGAACAAGCTCTATTCAAATTGGCTGCCCTGTACTGCTCCTCATTCAAAAGCACTTGGAGCTGAAACACTGCTTAGAACTTCAATGTTAATGAGCAGAGCTAAACTGTTACAGGCTGTTTAGGTGGATATATGTAAATGAGTTGGTTCTTGGGACGTCTGTTTTTGTATCTTAGTTTTCATATACGTTTGGATTTGAAAGTAAATGACACATTTTGAAACTTCAGCAATGTCTTCATATTACTTTAAACTTTATTTAAAAACATTTTAAAAAGTTTTCCATAATATGAGTCTTTTTAAAGCTGTTAAATGGAAACTGTGTGCTTGTCTATTTGATTTGTGAGTACAGCAGCATTTACCTGTTTGACCTGTAGGCCGTGGCTCCATATTCTCTCCAACAGGTCGCACAGGCTGGCTATGAGTGTGTTCTCCTCCAGTCCAGTGATATTAGCCTCCCCGTGGCCCAGTTCCACAGCCTCCCGACCCATTTTCTCCACCAACATCCGCTTAGTCTGCACATACAACATTACCATACCATGTAGAACATTACGCTATAGTGGAAATCTTCAACTTCACTGAGTGGAAAGAGCACTTGCTGAAACAGTGAATAATGCTAACCAGACCATTGTGCAGTTCCCTGTGTTCTCAATAAGCACCAATGAAAGTACTGAACCTTGTGTTTTCGCTTGTACTGTGTGCACACATGCAAGAGAAGGAGAAAAAGTACCAGACCTTCATTCTGCACTCCTTCAGTAATCCCTCCACAAACTTCCAGTTGGTCTGTGCAATGACAGCTGGCGAGAGGTCCGACAGCTTGGGCTGTCTCAGATTCTTCCCCAGACTACGTGCCTCCTGCATGTACTTCTACAGAGAGATACAAGCATGTTAGACACAAAATGCCTCTGTGTGCTACACTACTGAGACCACCATTCAAAAATTTGGAATCCATATTTTCAATATTAAACCAATTTTCCTAAAAATATACAGTTATATGCAAATGTTTGATTAAAGGACGTTTTGTTGATTTTCTAAGTGAAAATAAGTTAAACATCCTGTACAGAGAACACACTTCTGCACATTTTAATACACAATTACTGCTGAATTTAACATACTGGGGGGGGGAAACATAAAATGAAATTTGGTACTGCCGTAAGAGTGCATAATGTTTAACCAGGGGATGTTTTAAAGGGGCACTCTGGCCAAAATGTAAACTTCCATCTACTCTCCTCTGGTGGCAGTCCCGAAAGGGACATTTTCTAGTTTAAAGACAAGGAATCTCCCCTTCAGATGTTGTATCTAGAAGGTAGACACATGGCAGTTTGAAATATTTTTCCATTTTTCCCCACTAGCTACCGAACCGAAGGAAGTCAGACAGCTGATGATACTGCTTAGAAGTCAATTATTCTGTATGTATTTATTAGTTTCTACATGAGTGCACTTTATTGCAGTAAGGGGAATCCCAATGGTTAAATAGTATATTTGCACTGTGAATGCTTGGTATTGTAGTGCAAGAACATTGGTAGATGAAAAAATCATGAATTCTGTCAAAACAATGATGCTAAAACAATATGATGCTGCACTTCAGAATATTCTATAGCAAATAACATAACTTTAGTTCTAGGCCGGAATGCCCCTTTAAGGCATTTTCTGTGCTGAAACTGCTAATCTGGGACATTGGAAGAGGTAAAGCCTAAAGGTAAGTTTAGATGCAAAAGGTGGTGACTATGAGCCAGCAAGGAGTGTGTGAAAGTGAAATCAAAGTTTTGGACGCTACAGCAGCGACACTTTGTTACTTCAACTGAAACAATTGTTTGATGTCATCAAAGCTCATTCAGCTTTCACACACTGTTTCATGTGGTTTAGATGTTACAGAGGTGTTGGTTAAAGTTTAGACATGTTGAAACAGGGTTCAGCTGGTCACACAATGGCAGGCCTCAACATACCAGGCAGCAGGCTGAGAAGGACTTTTTGGGCGGTTTAACGGGAGGGGGTGGGGCCTTGTCCCACTCCCAGAACGCCATAGAGTTCTGCACCACCAAACACCCCTCCACCTGCTGCGGAGTGGTACAGCCCACACCCACAGCATTCAAACGACAGACGCCACAAACAAAAGACAAGAAAAAGAAAGGAAAGAGAGCAGACAGAAAAGAAAAAGAGGCAGCATGCACATAAATAAAGAACGTACTGAAGCAAGAAGACAACAGAAAGACATGGAATAACATCTTAAGAAAAACTTAAACTTCGCAAGGACACAAACTTTAGAGCAAAAAGAAACATCTAAAAACAAATTAACATAGAAAATGGAGGCAGCAGACAGTGAAACAGTTTCACAATGCTTTCGGACAGTTACATAACTTGTAAAAATGTGTAAAAGCTGACAGTATACACAGTCCTTTGTAGGCATATAATAAAGCCCAGCAACTGACCCACAAATTCAATTTCAGGGGACATAACTGAAATAAAATGCCAGCTATGGCACTATGTGATTAATGACCATTAGTGAGTAGTGATTTATGGTAAACTGCTGCACATTAGTGTGTAAACTGTATTATGACCAAATTAGTTCTTTTTGTAGATAGGTCATTTCATGTCCAGGGACATCATTCTCCACAGCCACTCAGCAAGTCAGACTGGATAAAGGATTCATTCATACGCAATCTGCCCCAGCATAATTTTCACAGTGAAAAGGAAAGAATACACTGGACACTGGACAGAAAAAAATACGAAGATCCAGGCTAACCAAAGGTGACAAAAAACAGGGGGAGGCAGAGAGAGGGGAAAGGATGAGGAGGACAAAAGGAGGCGGTTGTTCTGTACCTCTTTGAGGTCATTGTCCAGCCCGAGGTGGTCAGGCTGCTGCCTGGGCCAGTCCCTCCTGCGCTGAGCTGGACCAGTGCGATTTGACCACCTGCTGGCAGAGGATTTAAAGTTATATATCACATATGCAAGTAATTTGTGTACATAACACTTAACAAATGTGTGACCCCATCAACAGCTCACGTCTCCTACAATGGTTTTCTGTATATACTAAAGCATTTGCTGCATTTGTTGTTGGCAACAATGCTATTTACAAATGACGAAGACCTTTGTATTTACAGACAAAGTTAAATGTAATGTTTCTGCCCGAAATCTGTTTTACTAAACTCATTCACAGTGCAGTCCACAAGCAGTTAAACCACAGTTGGTATAGTATAGTGGACAACATCACTGCCCTCCACCTGGCAGACTGGGGCTCAGTTCACCAGGCAAACATACCACACCTTAGCAACAGAAGTCCTAGGGCAAGGCTCCCACACAGCATTACAGAGGAGTAATGTAGCTACAGTGTGATAGATATGAAGCCCCACTACTGATCAGACTTCCTGAAGCTGTTGGTAAAATAAAATCTAAATCTAATCAAAATCAAAGGGAGATAAAAATGACTGTCACATTAGAAATGTGCTGCCTTGAATCATGCAGTTCACTTCTTCTAACTGGGTTGACCTAAGATTAGTAAAAAGCAGTGGCTTTTAGGCTCTATCCAAGCTTTATCCTGTTTAAGAGGAGTTCTAATGTCAGAGAATAATGATCAGGGTTCAGAAAAACATTTTTGCCAAAGAGGATTAATGTTAAAAAAAAAAATAATAATAATAATATTCAGTCTTATTTTGCAACTAACATTTCATGATGACTTCATTGCCATCATCATTCTGTCAGTCAGTTTATGGTCTGGCAACCTGTTAATGTTATGTTAATGCTAATCATCAAGTTTTCATTACTCTGTGCTACAGGGAAGCAGGTTAAACAAACAGTGTGGGTGGAGCGGACAAAGGCAGAGAGGACAGATTTGAGAGCTGCTGTTGAGCATGCTCTCTCCCCCTCTCTCTTTCTTTCACCCTTGTGTATATTCAACAAATGTGTCTTTGTCAGAACACTCACTTATTGTTCGTCGGCCCTGAGGCAAGCACATCTGCCTGCAGCTTGGGGAAGAAGCCCTGCTGGTACTTGCCCTGGCCGATTTTCATGTCCAGCAAGTGGGGATGGATGGCGGTGTGGTCAATCTTCATTAACCGCTGCTCAATGGCTTGAGCTGGAAGAAAAAAAGGAAAAAAAAAAAAGAAAAAGAAAAGAAATTACAGTACCTGGAGACGCAGCCTGTTCGGTTTTCTCCTCTCTGGCCTGGTAGTGCATTAAGTAGGATTACGATGCAGATCCCCCTCCCACACACAAATGCAGGCATGAGATTATAAAATACTTGTGAGTACATTATGTGAAAAAGAAGTTATGAGAAGCTTCACTGGGTCCTGAAACAAATTTAAATCGCTGAGATTTCTTTCAACATGCAAAGGTCAGAGACCACGCGTCCTTTATTTAATTTCCAGGCAAAATAGCCATTAATAACAAGTTATGTCTTTCTATACTCTACGGTGGTCAGTCCATTATTCATTTTGTCTGTTTCCTTTTCTCAGTAAGGGCTTCTTGACAGCTGCACGTCCTTTCAGACTCAGTGTTGAGTTGCTCTTCTCACAGTGGAAGGATGAACAGAAACACCTGTGGATTTTTTCAGATCTAAAGCAAAAGTGGAGCTTGATTTTCTCCTCTCTCTCAAAGATGAAAGTTTTAACCCCTTAAATGGTCAGGACCCACTGGTGAGTCTGAAGTCTTACTGCAAACTTCCTAAAACCTAAAAATAACTCCACCAGTTTGCATCGTAGTCCATGTAGTTATTGACTAATAAATCTTAATAAGCCTGGGAATTTAACAGGTTAAGTGCTCTTTATCTGACGGTGATGGTTTTGATGGTTTATCAGCTCTTGCATGGCTGTCATGAGTCCCATTTTCTCTGTGGCTTTTATAGAGAAAATAAATAATTGTTTGAACTCCACTTTTGGAAAATATCTCCTGAAAAATGAATAGCTTATACATAATGGCTGTTTTAACTGAAAAATCATGTAAATGAAGGGTGGTCTCTGACATTTGCACAGTACTGTATGGTTTGCATATTTCCAAGCCAATTTTTGTGTGGGCACACTTTGTTTTCAGGTATGCCTGTACCGCTGGCTTGTAGACATTATAGCTTAAATATGATAAATATTATGTTTCAAAGGGTCACCAATTCAGCATATTCAAACTATGTCTCAAAATAAATGCACTATTCCTATATATAGTAAAACAGCATCTTCATGCGCTGGGTGAGAGCAGAAAATCTGAAAGCAGCAAATCTGAAAACAGCTCTAGCTTAACCATGTAACCATGGGGATGAAGTATCAGCTCAAAACACACAGCAGTGTCCTTCACACACACACACACACACACACACACACACACACACACACACACACACACAGAGGATTGATCCACAGTGATGACAGTGCAATGCTGCTAGTCTCCAGTACTGGAGCATCTGGCAGAATTTCAAAGCTCTTCATTTGTATGACTCATAAGGACATTCTGTTCAGTGCTTTCATTCCACTCTCCTCTATTCATCCCTCTCTGACTCTCCTCCAACTCCTCATCCCACTGACTTCAATTCTGGCACGCATTGTGAACATCTTATTGCAAAAGCAGAAGGAACTCCAGTTAAAAATATGTTCGGTAACAAGTAGGGCAAAAAAGTAAAATATTTTAGTTTCTAGACAGAGCAGGCCTTCAGCTTCTTGTGTGGCATGTGACATCTAATTTGAATCAAAATATTTTTGCTATTTTAGATTTATAATTTTTAGAGAAGGTGAAAGCCAAATCTGAAGTTTATTCAGTTAAAATTATGAAGGGATGTCACATCATGTGCACATTTGCTCAGCAGCCTGAGCGTATTGTAGAGTAATGATCCTGACTTTGCCTTTGATTTGCCTCTTTGTGGCGTTAAGAAATATTAGACTATCTCTAAAATACCAGGTCTTCCTTGAAGCTTAGTGTTGCAGCAGTTTGAGCCATAGCTATCAAAGTCAAACACCAATCGTTTTCTACGCATGACAAACAATACATATAGTCATGTGACCATCTGCAAACCAGAAACATGCAACTCTATGTTTATGACCACTAAACACACTATCCCTTATGAACAGCCATGAGAGCCTAATTAAAATTTAATGTCTTTCACAGAGGTCCAGGCGGATGCTCACCGGACTCTTTGAGGAAGGTACATTTCTGGTAAACTGACGAGCGCAGACTGGGCGCCCGCACGTTGTAGAGGCGGGCCTTCTCAATGCGCCCATCAAACACACGCAGGAGGGGCTCCTTTTCCTCCCACTGAGACATGATCTTATTGTCAATGAAGGTGGCAAACATCTGGGTCTCAATGAAGCGAGACAGGAAAGGCAGGAAGGGCTCCGGCTGATCTGACAGGAAGGATGCCTGGAGAGAGGATGGGGAGGGCCAAGAACACAATAAAACAAACATATAACAAAAGGGAACAATCTTGCACAGAAACGAAACGAAAAATGTCTCTTATTTTAAAAGGCACAAACCCTAGTCAACCCTAAACTGACTGCCTCTTTAGTTTTGCAGTGGAGCACGATGGAATAATGGGAGCTAATAACCCACCAAATAGAATGGTTCACATTGCATGCCCAGCTGTTTGACATTGTATGAAATACTGTTACCTATAATAATGGACCAAAGTACAGATAAACTTCAGGCTTCAAGAGGGCTGCTTCTACAGCTTTAGCTATGGGTCCACAGTATGTCATACATTGTCAAAAACATACAAGCAAGTGCATATGGGTGTAAATAGCCAACGACTTGTCAGCTACGTTAGCCTCATAGCTAGCAGATCAAGTACACTGGGGTTCAGGGGAAACTGTACATTTGATTTTAACCTGTAGTATCGCTTTAAAGTGTCTAACTTTGGAAATAACTTACACAGGGGTCCCCCTCTTTTTATACACACAACAGCTCGCAAAGATCATCCTTAAATGACACTGAACAGCAACATCCTTAATATTAAAGTCAATAAAACTCCTAAAAACCTCTTACTGACTGAGTGACAATGACCTACTACCACAAACCAATCCTCATCCAATTATAATTTAAATATTAGAAGTGAAATGTTACACATTGCAAAAAGCTGCCCTCTTTTATTGTAGTCTCGCTCTACACAGTTAGAAAAAAGGGCACTGTTTGGGTATGTTTTTGTTCACCGAGGTACAAACCGTGTAAAAGCACCTTCAAATGTGCAACAGTGGTCTTAAGGTCTAATTCTGTACCTTACATGAGCTTTAAAAGTATATTACATTCTCTTTCTCAGGGTAAAGCTATGTATTTTCACTTTTTCAAAAATCATAAATAAATACATTTCAAGACCAGGTAATTGGAGTCAATGTAACTTAAAAAAAAATATAATTGCATTGTAAAATGATACAATTACGTTATCTAGAACTGTACTCATGTACTCATGAGAGGGGTATCACCTCGGTCGAACTTTAGTACCTATTTTTCTGAGTGTATTACCAGATGTTCAGACACAGCATCCATATGCAACAACGTAGCATTCCAAACTACAACAGACATAAATGGACATTCAAACTGGCACAGTTTTACACTTTTCTAGGATTTCTCTAAAAATTTCTAGGTCTTTTCTAGGATTAGAAAAACTAATCTTAATTTTCAGGTTTTTCAGGATGTGTGAGAACCATACAGGAGTTTCTCTCAGAGATTTGTCTGTACATGTCCACATAGAGGTGGGCGATATGGCAAAAATATCCTATCACAAACAAGACATTTTTACAATATACAATACACATCATGACATGCGTATTGACACACAGACACAGAGTCCCACACTAAAAACTCTGGTTATAAAGATTTCTATTCGGCATTTCACATATTGCACTGCACTAAATCCAATTAAACAGGACCAATTATGCTCTTGTTGTAATGAAACATGCAGGTGGTCAGTGTTCTATAAAGTACAGACAATATCCATGATAAGCAAGATGCAGTTCTGAGCCTATTAGAAGATTTATCATGATAACAATAAAATATCATTAAATTGCCCACCTCCATGTCAATATGTTTGAGTTTTATTTCTATATGTGCATCATTCACCTTGTCAAAGTTGTGCATCTGCTCGCGGTTGGTGAGCCAGGCCTCCAGGTCCGGTGAGTTTTGGATGACGAAGGCCTCGTAGTCGGCGAACATTGTGGCGAAGCGTGCTGCAAACACCTCCCTCAGCTGCACATTCAGCTTGGCGGTTCTCAGCTCCTCTTCCTCGATGCCAGTCCTTCCCCCCACGTTCTCCTCCCCTGTAGCTTTCTGCCCTGCCACGAGGGCCTCCAGACGGGCCACCTTCACTCCTGTGCGTTTGGCCAGAGCCTGAAGGCGCTCTAGAGTCGGGTTTCCCTGCAGGAGCTCCAGGACATCTAAAGCTTCACCAGGCAGGTTCCCGTTTCTTCCATCATCTACTAGATCTCTCAAGACTGTGTTCTTCAGCCCTGTGCCTGTCACGCAAGTCTGAGTGGTGGTGGGTGCAGGTGATGTGACGCCGCCCTCTGGAGAAAGACCATAGTGCAGCAGCACCTCGCTCAGCTCCTGAATAAACTCAGCCTTGTTGGGGAATTGAGGGAAATCCTCTGGCAGCTCGATGCAGTGGTTGTCAATGTCAACAAAGCAAAGATTTGCCTGGGAAGAGAGGAGAGCCATGAAATACAATTTCATTATATTCTCTTTTAAATCTGTCAGAAGTGTTTAAAGAATTAAAATTCTAAATCAGAAAAGACATGTTTAGTGTCTGAAGTTTGTCTCTTTAGTTTTGCACTGGAGCTATGAGGCTAATGTACTTAACAAGTAATGGGAGCCTGCCTAAATCACCACACTTGCTTCAAACTCACTGAGTTAGGTATTCTCGAATGTGCATATGTGGTTTGACACTGTACGACATACTGTCATCTTTAAAAATAGACACAAGTGCAAAAAACACATAACATTGGAATTTTAATATAACATGATATTTTTCTTGACAAGATAGGCATCATCATATGCACTGTACTGCACTAAAGCCAATTAAACAAGATTAATTATGCTCTCTCTGTATTGCAACATGACAGAATTTATAAAAATGACTATAAATATCGTCATCTTGCTCAGAACTACTTTCATGCAGTGTCATTATTTCTTATCCATTTTGGCCACAACTAAACAACTAAAGAAACTTCAGACACATCTTGTCTGGCCAACTACATTTGATGTCAGGCAGAAAACTGCAGCAATTTGATTTTTCATTAAACTAGTCCTTCAAAATAACTTGTTTGACAACAAATTGCTTTCCACTGTTAGCAATAATTATCTTTGTAATTTGCATTTGTAGGCCCATTTGAATGCTTTTTCAATTTAATAGCATGTTATGTTTGTAATCATACCTTAATCCATCACAAGCAATGGCATGATAAATGTAATTCAGCATAAACAGTATTAAGGGCAGTGAGTCAAATAACAGGGGATTTAGATCGTTTTAGCATGGCATGAAAGACAAGATTAAAACAACACAAAAAAGCAACATCAATTGTGATGTGCCAACCAGAGCACAAAAGGAGGGGGGGGGGAATGCATCTGCAGCAACAGCACCATCAGAAACACATTCACATGTGTGCAGACACTCAAATACACATTAACTAAAGATCAACTCTTACTCAGTTGTGTTAGCAGAAAAAAAAGCATGAAACTGTAGCACAACGGTAAACTGGCACATCAATTTATCCCAATATGAAATTATGGAATCTGTGCATTATACCAATGAATATACATATGTTTGTATAGAACATATACATTGGTAGATTTTCTAAGTGGAATATGTAAACGCATCCTCTACAGAGCACACTCTTCTGCACATGTTGATATATAATTACTGCTTATTTGCTGAATTTAACACATTGGAAAATAAGTAAAACACATCCTCTGCAAAAGTCATTTTATATTTTTGTTTATTCCTCCAATATGCTAAACTCAAGTAAATAGAAATTGTCCACTAACATGTCTGTTTATTTTTCACTTAAAATCAACAAAACTTCATTTTCAGTTATTCAAACTTCTGCATACAACTGTGTACTGCTGTTAAGGAAAGGGATCTGAAAAGGGAGAGCATAAGTCGCCTGGAGAGAGAAATTCTAATGGAAATAACACTGAAAAAAAGAAAAAGGCCTTCAGGAGTTCTGCTCACATGGTTCACTCAGTCTATCCAGCTCCACACGGACACATGCGCTCGAGTGTGCTGCGTGTCCTTATTCTCCTGCTGTATAAATAAATCAGTCAGGCGGAGCAGCAGCACTGTCCATACTGCTGGGCCTTAGTGCTGCTGACAGGCCGGAAGACAGATACGCTGACACACGACATGAGCATGAGTGAGCATGTGTGTGCGCGTGTGTTGTTTTGCATGTAAAGCCTTAGATTAATCTTCCTACACCCTCTGGCATGAACACCTTGAAGCAATTCTACTTACATTTTGTTTTAATACTTCACACTAGTAGCTCAGTGAACCAAGAAATTCTGTCAAAAGTGCTTATTATAATCTTTCAACAGATGTGTCATTTGTGTTTATAAGTAGACTTGAACTGAATGAACACAATGACTTTTGAAAGTCTTGTTTTGCAGAAAGAAAAACATTTTTTTTTCTTTCATTTTTTGGCTTTGAACTAATAGAAAGTTGGAACTGCAGACATAACTCTCTCTATACAGAATGTAAATCAAATGTAAAGGAAAGGTAATTAACTGTGGAACAAAAAATGTAATTATGCAATTATAAACACTACCAGGCAAAATTTTGGATTTGTTTCACTTGTCATATTTACAATTGCTGCCACTTTATTAAACAATAAATGATACAGTATGCATTAAAATACTATAAACTAGACAGAAGAAGATATTTTAAAGGAGCATTCCAGCCTAAAACTAGCATTTGCTGTTATATGCCTAGTTAGGTACTATTATGTAGCTCAGCATTGTATCTCTTAGCCTCAACAGTTTGAGAAAATTACAATTAAAAATACTTTATACATTCACTGGAAACCCCTACATGGTATCACAGCATGACTAGCAGGCTGGCTTTCTTTTGCATTCACCACCTAAAACAAAAATAATAAATAAAATTCTCCCACCTTCAAGATGCATCAACAGAAATGGGTTTTCCTAGTCTTTCCCAGAAAATTTCACAAACATCAATACCGTGGGAGGCGAGTAAGCCTGTTTAGAACAGATGCTTAAATTTTTGATTTTGGCCAAAGTGTCCCTTCAAGATATTTTACTCAATATTAATATGTTATAAATGATATACTGTAATTATCAGCATTTTTGTATAAAGTTATCTGCCTTGAGATTTGATAACTTTTAAAATCTAGGGGCATTCTGGCTGTTTATTGTATGATAACTTCATTCTCAGGGTTTTGCAGTCTTCTCAGGCATTATGGAATCATCTACAGCTCTGTTCATTACTCTACACACATTTGAAGTTTCTTCATTTTTTTTTTAAGCTTACCACAAATCAGTAAAGTTGTAAAGTAGTAGCTTTATATTACAATGATTCTGTACAAGTACCTGTAACAACTTGGTTTTATGTTATTGAAAAAAGCGATGCCACACTTTTGAATAGTGATGGCAAACTTGTAATTGGTACTCTACATAATTGAATAATGCAAATTAAACGCATAGCAGAACTCTACATCTCTAAAGGTTGAATGCAGGACAGAGCAATTGATCTTAATCTGAGCAAATACAGCATCATGCTTCTTTGTAGCCACATCGAAGAGAACTTTAAAAGTGATAGTTTGTGGATGCACAGTTTGTTTTGCTCTCCTAGCACGTGTTCTCTCAGACACTCTCAAAGCAAGGACAGGAGCAATTTTCTCTGGAGACTTGAGACATGCTTTAACAGGGGACAGCGGGGAGAACAGAGATGAGTGTGGGCACTTTTAAACACAGTAGTGCAGCACAGTGCAGTACAAATTTCAGCCACAAAAAATCAGGGCTGCCACACTTTTCTGCGCATAAATATACAACACCAGAATAAACACAACCTGGAGCCATGTACTCATTTCTCACCGTCTCTGCACGGAGAATGCCTCTAACCAGGGGAACACAGACAAAAAAAGGGGTGGGGGCATGGAGAATGGGATTTAGGAGAGAGGAAGTGGGAAAAGCCTCTCGGGATTCTCGAGGATCCTCGGCAGGCTATGAATAATTAACTCTAACACACTGCAAAGCAATGCAACAAAGCAATTAGAGGTGAGAGTAAAACATCAGCACAAAGACATGAAGTGCAGCAGCACTGTCTCCAGACAGCCCTCAGCACGACACAAGGATGAGCGGAACAAGGCTGCATTAATGTGTGTGTGTGTGTGTGTGTGTGTGTGCGTGCACGCACATGTGTTTAAACTGATATTACAGCAAATAAATAAACAAATATTTATTTATTTATTTATTTTTTTATTTATTTATTTACAGTAAATTAACACCAGCCAAGACACGTTTGGTGTCTGAATTTCTGGTGTCTTAATGCACTGATGGTTCTGCCACTCAAATAGATTTGCTTATGCTGTTTTTGGCACCGTTGATACACCGAAATGTATAAAAATGGACAAAGTACAGACTAAAATTGAGGCTTTGAGATTTAAATGTGATGTGCTTTTGGCTGATCAGATACATTTAATATTAAAAGAAAATTGCAAATTTTTTGTCAAACTATTACTTTAACAGGGTATCTACACGATTACCTCTTGAGGCAGTTCCAGTTTGGAGCGGTCCGTGCCCTCTTTCGACTGTAAACCCATGAGGTATGGCACAGGGGCATCTAGGAAATGCAGCAGGGAAGCAGGCAGGATGGGCACGTACACATGCTGCCACTGGAATGGAAAGAGCAGCGTGGTGATCCCCTCCGCCACCACCATCAGCCTCTGGTAATCTACACACACAGAACAAAGAAAAGACTGTAATTATCACTCAGCAACGTCTCAACAAATCAGAGGCTACTCTTATATTACAGTTCAATTTGTTTGCTCAGATCTGATTTTTCTGCCTTGACTGTTCACATTTGTGTTGGTAAGTGACTCACAGGCCTATCTGTAATTAGCGGAAACATACCTCTTCAGTGTAAAAGCCCGCATAGGCATATTTGATCATCATATGAGAACATCTCAATATACTCTATGGGAAATCAAATTCACCAAATGGCTCGAACAAATTATGCAGGTATCTATACATTTCTTACACTGCAAAACAGTCCGTGTGATAACATTAGTCTGTAATAAAGTCATCTGCACATACAGCTAGCACAGTGTTTTCAAAACAGCTTCATAGACCTCATTAGCATCCGTATTGGCTCAGCTTTCACAGAGCTAAAGACGCACTGCATTGCAATAGAATATTCATTAGCTCTTCTCCTGTCTTTACACTTCCTCCCACTCAACATCAAAGGCACTGCAGAGACGGGGTTGGAGGCAAGAATATATCAGAGCCGACTCTAGTGGGGTTTGACCCATCCTGAAGTGATCAAAGGAAGGTGCTCAAACTGTACAGGCCAATAGAGATGCTACGTTTGCTGATTCAGACAAGCAATGAAGAGATCATGAATTTTCATGCCTCACTATCTGTGAGGTCATATTAGGACAGGATATTGTGGCAGTGCCTGTGGGAATGTTAGCCAAATTCCTCCAATAGGTCTCAGTTAGGAACCATAACAGGTTTTGTGGACTATTTGTGAAACTAAACTCAGACTCAGGACCTCTGATGATCTTTAACAAATCCTAATTAGCCATGTTTAAAACAAAACATCTAGTAATATTACATAACTGCCATTTTGGCATTTCTGTCATTTTTGCTATTTAAATATAACTGTACAAGTGATCACATTGTAAGGTACATAATTAATTGCATGTAAACATAATTTAAGTTTAATATAGAGGAAAAAAATAAAAAGCATTAAAATGCACAGAAGTGTGTTCTCTGTAACAAACATGTCATTTGATAAGGGAAGGACAAACTTCTAACTTTCATTAGAAAGAAATCTAACCTTTTCTTTAAGCCCTATTTATTATTGTGCAAAATAATAATAAAATATTAATAGCTACTTATATCACAACTGCAAACACATTTCTGCATTAAGGTTGAAGCATTCCCTTTCTATTCAGGCCTACAAAACTAATGTATATGCATAATTCCTTTAAAAGTTCCTCATGATGACATAGGTTTGGTGTGACAGTAGCCATTACTGCTTCATACGTTTCACACATGACAGAGCGAGAATAATAATCACATTTAGCTTGCATTATATTCTACTTTTACAGTCGTTTTTAGCTGTGCTTGTGTTTTGTCTTTGTAATTGTCTTTGTAGCAAAATGGTTAAGTCCCTTGCTCTCCATGCAGAAGAGTGCGATTCAAACCTGTTTTCTCTACCATTAGGCCCGACTCCTAATTCTACAGTCCTGCTGAGTGCGTGTGATGTAATTTGATTAGTCCCTTCAGAGCAGCCCTTAGTTGTGGAAACTCATTTTGCTTTATTGGCTTTATTTCTTGTGTTTTACCACCTTTTGAGAAGACTTCTCACCTTGTGAGTAGAGCAGGACCTGCATCTCCAGCAGGACACAGGTGAAGAGCTGCACCAGGTTCTCCACTCCGAGCAGCTGGAAGGCCTCGCCCAGCGGGAAGTCAGCCAACGGCAGCTCATTTGGCCCTGGCCGCTGGCACAGGATGGGCTCATACACGCCGTGGAACTTGAGGGAGCGTCCAGGCGGCGGCAGCGGGACCTCATACAGCACATTGTAGACATAACTCTCCAGAGGCAGCGGGGGTGGCTGCTGTGAGACCACAGCCCGGTGCATCTGGGACAGGAACCGTCTGCACGCATGCATGAAGGGCATGGGCGCGATTAGGCAGATCGCTTTAGAGACGTACAGTGTGTCTCGTTCCGCATCGTAACCTGAACCTGAGCAGCCACAGACACCCCGAACTCCTGCCTGAGAGGAAGGAGACTCCGCTTCATCTGAACTGCTCGCCAGAGAGTCCATACTGGAGGAGGACGAGGAGGAGGAGGAAGAGGATGATGATGAAGGACAGTTGTGGGGAGAGGTGTGTTGCTCAGCATGGTGCATCTGGTGCAGAGTCTGCATGGCAGAGCGAATCTGAGTGCTGGTCACCTCCTCGTAGAAGGTGTGGACGAAGCCGTAGATGCGAGAGCCGTCCTCCCGCGTGATGAGGAAAGAGTGGAAGCGAGGGGCCAGGCTGTCTCTCTGAGTGCGGAATGACAGGCCTTTAGGCATGCAGAGCTGAAGAGAAGGAGAGATAGGATTTAATATAGCATATTGTAAAGAGTCATATTGTTATAATGACTGCCAGCATCATTCATATCATTACCACTCACATCTGGGTAAACTCATTTAAATCTGTTAGTTTATTAGATTTTACACTGGACAGATGAAATCTTCCACTGATGACTAATACTCAAATACACACATACACAAAACAAAAGGCTGACAAGAGAGAGAAAAGAAAGAGGAGAAGGGAAAGAAAGTGAGAGTAGAGAGAGAGATGGGAGGAGGAGAGAAAGAAAGTAAGAGGAGAGAGAGAGGGACTGAAATTAAGTAAAGAGAGAGAGAAGAGATAAAAACAAAATGAAAGAGAAACAGAAAATAAAAAGAAAATGGAAAACGAGAAAGAAAAAAAAGACAAAGAAAAAAAGATTCATACACTCCAGCTGCATTAGATAAAAGTGTGAGAGTGAAAAGAGGAGGAAACAGCTGAGCAATATCTTTATACCTGTCTGATGTGGCTCTTACATTTTTGTGGCAAACCTGAAGTATAACAACAACTACAAGTCTATGTAGTGAAAATGACATGCAGCTGTGAAAGAATGAGAGGACAGAAAGAGAAAGTGGAGAAAGTGAAGTCTCCCGTGTGTGGAGGGATGAGGCTGTGAATGTAAGATCCATATGGGAAAGTAGCCTGTGTTGCTAAGCCATGTGATGCAGTGGAAGTTCATCACATGACCTGGAGAGAGTCTTTATTCAGACACATCACACTGCATCACCAAGAGGAATAATCTCCCTATGAGGAAGAGTACTGGTTAAACTGGGATTTATGTGGGCTGTCATCTCACTCTGTGTTGGGGGTTATCTTGGGCCCCTGTGGCTAATTCATTAGCTCTGCAGTCTCTTACATCAGTCAGTAGACACATGCGTGCAGTTGTCCTCAAACCATTTCAGTGTATAAGGATTAATGAAAAGCAACTTACAAGTGACCAGTGCAATCTTCACAGAGCTTAATTACGAGCTTTTCCTGGCAGCTTACATCATTTTATTACCCTTCACTGAACCACATCTGGGTAAGCTGATTTAACTCTGATGGCTTATTAGAATATTACACTGAGTGGGTGAAATCACTGAGGACCAAGACTCAAATTAGAAATGGGCAATACGGCAAAAATATAACGTCATATCATGATATCACAAGACAGGATACTTATAATGCATAACATTATTTATATTTTCTGAACTTTAATAAGTCAGACCAGAGAAAACATTTAGACAAATTACCATTAAAATATTTTTTAATGAAATTATTCATCGTTTCACTGCTGTACTGCACTAAATTAATCTAGTTATGCTCACTTTGTAATAAGTATGCAACTGGTTGTGTTCTCTGAGCACTGACACCCTCAATATGCTCAGCAAAGCGTACCGAGATGCAATTTCTCATCACAATAAAAAATATATTGCCCATCTCTAATTTAAATACATGAAACAGACAGAAAGAAAGAGAGAGAAAGGGAGAAAGAGGAAACAGGTAACAGAGGGACAGAAAGATGAGTGAGTGGAAGAGACAGAGAGAGACAGCGAGAGCGAGAGACAGCAAGCATGACGAGAACTGGAATATGAAATGCAATTATCTGAGGAGCTTTGTGGTGGCCTCTGCGGACCGTGACCAGAGAGTGAGGACTGCGATTACAACCCGTTCCCCCCTTTCAGGTCCAGCAGCTGTATGTGTGTGCAGCTGTGCATGTACGAATACATTCAGCGTACACTGATTGCTGAAAAAATACTCTCATAATCATTATTCTCTACATCTGAAGATCTGGAGTGCTATTGCGACACAGAACACTATTACAGAAAACAGAACTCATCAATCGAGTAAATCACTGTACATTTCGTACACCAGTGTTACATGCTTGTAGAAGGATCATCATATGTACTCTGCCCGCTGCAGTGCCCTGTTGGATTGTAAGAGTGCACTGGTTTTTCTCCAATTTGCTTTTGGACACCACTTCAAAACAGAGCACTCTGTGGTGAACAGGCCTTAGTTTCAGATATTAGCCCAAATGGCTCAGTGCAGAGGTTCATAGCTCTCAGAAAAGAATGTGTTCTCTGTTGGTCAGTCGAGCACTCATGATGACATCACTGCTGGACAGAAGGGCCAGCTCAGGTGTTCTTTTTCAGAACTTGTGCACAATGGGCTGTTTCCATGCCGACATAGGCAGAGAGCCACAGTGAATAATTGATGGCTCCATCGGCAAGCGTCTGTTTACACTCCTAACGGAAAAAAATGACCTTGCAGCATGGGAATGATAGGTCAGAGAGTCCAGTTACTTTTCAATGCCAATGGACAGTAACTTTACCCCTCAGCACACTCTGTGAGAGTGTGAGAGAGAAAAAGCTTGATGTGCAGGTCAAGTCAAATCAATGCAGATGTAGAAGGCAGATCACTGCCATGAGTAATGCAGCTGGACAACTACATGAACAAATGAGCCATGTTTGGTGGGGAGAGCGTTATCTTACCCACCCCACAGAGGTTTAACCCTTTAACTCTCTATTTTTCAAAGCTGTCTTGCTTGTAAGCCTGTGCACATTTTGGTTGTCCTCCACTTTCCCCATGAACACGGAAAGATTACAAATGCAGCAAAGGCACACTAAAAGAGTGACAGAAGTCACCCTGGGGAGAAACAGCATTAAATTTGGAGGATTTAGCCCCATGTGTTACACAGGCTGCCTCTCTAACTGTACATGCTCTAATTCTGAATGTTAGATGAACAGAATCCTGCACACTGCTCTTTTTCTGCTCTATCCAGGTCAAAGGCCTTTTCCTCCATCATGTCATTTTTTACACTCTGTAGCCCACAATGAATGCATAACTGCAGTTTACATTATACAGCAAAAAAGTCCACTATATATCAGGCAGTATCTCTTCCATCTACTGTGTTTTGGCCCAAGGCTTTCAGTGGCCTGACAGGACTCAGCAAACACCATCCAACAGCAACACAGCATGCGTATATGCATGCACGTGCACGCACGCTAGACTCAAACTGACTGATGACAGTGGTGTGAATCGTCGTCAGATTGGATCTATTGCGGGCATTAAGTTGGGTAATTTAAATGTCAGAAAACGTGCCTTCCACTTAAGTAAATCATATTTGTCTCAATCTGTTTTCCTTAAAATTGTAGTTCATGTCCTATATGGACCATTTTACCAAATCAGTTTAAACTGTAGTCCCACAGTAAAATCATGAAAAAATAAACAATTTAAAAAAAACATTCAGAACTTAGATAATTACAAGGATTATGTTATGATTTATTTCAACACAATGCCAGAATTGAGAAAGTAATAAGCTAAATATATACAACAATAATCATTTATAGGGTACTTTCTATTGGGAGTATAACTCCCAAATTTCAACTTGTGAAAATAATACTTAAAATTTTTCACATTATTTTTTATTTCTTCTACAGTGAAGTTGAGTTTAGATTTATCATCAGTTTATTTTTAAATAAGAAAAACTTTATTCAAAAAATGCTGCCCCACAGTTTCATGTCACTATCAAAATGACAAGAGAGTGTTTTAGTCCATATTCAGAGCCTTATTTTAGCCACACCCCTGTATTTTAGAGCAGGACGTGAAACTGCATCCCTGCCTCTAACGGCCACATGGTGAGCAGTTACATCTCATTGCTTTGAAGTAAATGTGTTTATGATTGTTTTGTTAGTGACAAAATGGAAATATAATTCAAGTATGGAGTCATTCAAAGCAAAAGGGTTTAAAAGTCCAAGGTAGCTAAAAGTTCAAAATGTGTTTTGAAGTCTGCCTTAGAACTAACTCCCAGATCCATCTCAGTACTAATGTCAGCACTAATAATAGCTTCATAGTTTTATAGAACATTTTATACATTCTATATATTTTCACAAGAAGTGATTTAAAGGCTGTTTGAATGCATGATTATTAAGCCTACAGCTACAGCAAGAGCTACCAAATACACCAAGAAAGGTTTCTGACTAGAGAGAAAAAAAATATATAAATATATACATACACATACATATACACATACACACACACACACACATATATATATATATATAGACACCTGCAGATATTATGAAGCGTCTATGTTAGCAAACCTTTAGACTATACCAGACAGTGTATGATGTGGTGTACAGTGTCCAATTTACCCACCATGTTAACAGCATCCTGATCGAATGGGTTACATTCGATGTTCTCTGGGTAGTGGGCCAGCACTTTGGACTTGAAGGTCCTTTTAAGCGGACTCTGGTCAAAGTTCTCACCTAGAAAAAGAGAAGGCATGAGAAAGGGTAGAACAACAACCACAAGAAATTCTGCACATTTTTAGCTTTGATGTTTGGCCATTAAATGGGAACTGAGGAAGGCCGATACCGTCAAGTGAAAAGCAAGCAATTAAAATTCCTCTCATAAATGCATAAAGTAAACTGATGCTTCTGCATGCCTGAACTTTTTCAATTACAAAAGAACCCGGGCTGAATGAGAATTCTGATACAGATCCTGTAAAATGGCCTTGTTCAGATTCTGGCCAGATGAACTTCACACATATTTTAACTGAAGTGCTATGTGATCTAACTTAATAATAATTTAACTTAATTAACTAACTAACTTAATTAATAAGTTATAAACCTTGCCGTGTTCAGCTTGAGCCTTAAAAAAATCTTATGTGATCTAGCTGAATATCAAGCCACAAGCAGTTTAACTGATCAGCAGAACAAAAATAGCCATTTCACTGTGTAAATGTGACCCAAATCAGAGAAAGAGAACAATGAATCACTGCAGTAGCATCCTAATCCATACACTGACCTACATGCCTAATGCACTGACTGGACACACGCGTACACACACGCACGCGTACACACACGCACACACACACACGTACACACACACACGTACGCACACACACGTACGCACACACACGTACACACACACACGTACACACACGTACACACGCGCGCGTACACACACACACACACACACACCACACACACCACACACACACACACACACACACCACAAACTCCAAGTTGAACCTACTCACGCTCACACCTATAGTGAGTCTGTATATTCAACATTCAACATTAAACATAATGGCTACTTTATAATGAATGCAGACACATGGGCAAATGAGGGATGAGAAGGGGGATTAGCAGAGGCAACAGAGTGAGCAAGACAGGCACAGCACACACAGCAGCACAGATTAGAGGATCAGAATGAGGCTAGTGCCAGGGCAGAGTGAAAGAGGGGGGAAAACAGGTAGGTGACAAAGCAGCTGAAAGACAGAGAGAAAACAGGCCAAATAGAGCAAGAGGAAAAGAGAGAAAGAAATGTGATGACACTGACTGGTCATGTGACAGGGCTGTGATGTGGCAGAATGAGAGCTGCGTCCTGAGAGGGAGAGGAGAGCCAAGCTTCTTTATTACAGAGTGAGCACTGTATATAACCCCAGGTGAGAGAGAGAGAGAGAGAGAGAGAGAGAGAGAGAGAGAGAGAGAGAGAGAGAGAGAGAGACAAAGAGAAAGAGAGAGAGAGACAAAGAGAAAGAGAGAGAGAGAGAGAGAGAGAGAGAGAGAGAGAGAGAGAGAGAGAGAGAGAGAGATCAAAAGAAAGAAAGAGAAAAGAGAAAAGAGGCCCTGTTCATAGCTGGTATTAACATCTGCCTTGAGTGATCTGATAGGTGCAGAGGGAGATGTAAAGCAATTATGTTCCATCTCCAATGACCACTTATGCACTACAGCATTCACATTTCTAATGTCATGTGGTCATATGCATCCCTTACCACCTCTAAAGGTGCTTTGAGTGATCAGATGACAATAATTCTCCAAGATGCAGTGGACCCCATTCACAGCTGTACTTAAATGTTGTCCACTTATGATCAGGGTTATTATAGTTTATTATAGTTATACTAAAACTATTATTAAAATGAAAGCCATCAATAAAAAATATGCTTGTTAATAAAACTAAAAACAACAGATTCCAAAAACACAAAAACTAAATCAAAATGATCATGTCCACTGCAAAACTACCTAAAATAAAACAGAATTACTGAGTAAAAAAAACTTTCATTTTTGCTTTTCAGTGCGTGAATGAGAGTTTAGAGTGGATCTTTTCTACCACATTCTACTGCTGCGTTCATTTTATTCTACCCTTATCAATCACAGCGTGCATTCTAATGCTAAAAACTAAAAAACACTCATTTTTCAGAAAATAAAAAACAAAGCTAAAACTGGTAATGCACACTTAAAACTAACAAACTAAGTGAAACTAAACCAAAACCAAAAAACTGAACAAAAATAAAACTAATGAAAATGTAAAAACTATGACAACCCTGGATGGGAATCACCCAAGACGCATATTCATGCCAGATGTGAGATCCATGCTGCTGTTGCATGACGTTTTAACCAAATTCCAAAGGACTGTGTTGCATTTCTAGCCAAGAATGCACAGCCAGATACAGCAGTCACCAAAGGTGAGGAAGGAAACTCAAACATTTGTTCACTGAGTGGTCCTGTTCCATGTAAATGGGTTTACTAAATTTAACAGCCTTGCATAACTGATGTGTTGCCAACTGACTGTTAAATGTACTCAAAAGACACACATCTGCATCTACAGTGCTGTGAAAAAGTATTGTACCCCTTTCCCGATTGCTTCTATTTTTGCTATTATGTCACATTTAAATGTTTCAGATCATCAAACTAATTTTAACAAAGATATAAACAACACAAGTAAACACAAGATGCAACTTTTAAATGATCATTCCATTTATTGAAGATGTTTATTCAAAACGTATATCACCCATGTGAAAAAGTAATTGCCCCCTAAACCTAATAACTGGTTGCCACCCTTGGCAGTAACAACTGCAATCAAACGTTTGTGATAGCTTGCGATGAGTCTCTGTGAAGGAATTCAGACCCACTCTTCTTAAGGTCTTGCCTCAGCATCTCAAAGGGATTCAAGTCAGGACTTTGACTTGGCCACTCCAAAACCTTCATTTTGTTTCTTCTGAGCCATTCAGAGGTGAACTTGATTGTGTGTTTAAGATCACTGTCCTGCTGCATAACCCAACTGCGCTTGACATTCTCCTTCAGGATTTTCTGATAGAGAGCAGAATTCATGGTTCCTTTAATTATGACAAGGCATCCAGGTCCTGCAGAAGCAAAGCAGCTCCAGACCATCACACTACCACCACCACCACCATGTTTGACTGTTGGTATGATGCTCTTACGGTGGAATGCAGGGTTAGCTTTATGTCAGATGTAACAGGATCCATGTCTTCCAATGCACAAATTTCACAGCACTGTAGATAGTTAGTGAATAGTGTTTGTACACTGATATCGCTAATCATCTCCATCAGCTCAGCAAATGAATATCGGCTAGTGATGTTAGGTAGGAAGGCTGAGGACTTACAGTATCTGAGACATTTCATGTGGATAAACAATATCATCTCTCCTAAAAAAAGAGGCAGCTGCTCCAAGCTTACAGTGGGTCTTAATGTCAGATGGGTGGCAATATTGCTTAGGCTGAGCAGTTCATTTTGCTAGTTTAAAGGCTTTAGTGCAGTGGTGCCAAATCCTGGTCCTGGAGATCTACCATCCTGCAGAGTTTACCTGCACAACTGATCCAAGTAATAAATGCCTTTGGGGGATATCCAAATCTTAGAGCCAGGTGTGTCGGATCTAAACTGCACAGGGTGGTAGATCTCCAGGACCAGGACTGAGCACCCTGCTTTAATGTGACTTTAGTATGGCATCAATATTAGTATGCTTGCAAAACTAAGAAACACTAAAACAAACAAGTAAACAAATTGACTTAAGAAAACCTTTAGAACAGAAACCGATAGGCTATTAGTTTTACATTTGTGATAATGCTGAGAACTCCATATATTACCACATAAACTGAACTATATTTTTTCCCACATTGTTGACACCTATGGAAAAATTAGGGAAATCTAAAAATTTCAATTTAACCCCTGGCTGCAAACCCCACTGCATGTATGTGTAGAAACAGTATTAGGAATAAACAAGAGCACTGAGGAGGAGGAGGAGGAGGAGGAGGAGGAGGACGAGGAGGAGAAGGGTTCGAGACAGCAGCAAGCAGTGAGGAGTGCAAGCCGTTTAACGATAACAAGCTCTGAGAAGAACGACCCACATTTCAGCACTGCAGCCCTACAGAGACTAACCTGGAGGAAGATAGTGAGCAATGGGGAATGGAAGCAGTGGAGGTTTAACTAGAACGATAAGGGGGAATAAAAAGAGGGCCGAAGTGAAGCGGGAATGGGGAGGTCAAAAAAAGTGAGTGAGTGATTTATAATAAGGTGATTATGGGGGGAACAGAGCAGCAAAGGTAAAGGCAGTAAGGGATAGCAATGCTGCTGATTATAACGTCAATGTTTACCTGCAGCCACGGCCTCCGGCTCCCTGCCCTGACGGTCTGCCTCTAGCCATTGGTACAAAGCTGAGATGGCACGAGCACGAGCACGAACACACAGACACACAAAAAAAAAAATGCAAATGTCAAACCAAAACAAGGCAAAAGATGGAGAAGCAAACAAACTGAATTAACACAGGCAAGGCTATGAGTGCGAGTCCAAACAGCAAATGTCATGGTCAACACAGTGAGCTTTAGCTGGTGAGAGGCAGGTTAATGTGGGCAGAGCAGGATTAAGACAGTGGAACTGGAGCCTGTTGGAGAGGGAATGTTAATGGGGAATGTGATGAGAGCTTAACTGAGTTGTAATTTCTGCAACAGTAACTACGCCTTCACACCCAGAGCACATGAAAAACAACTGGGAATAATTACAGAAGATACAGAGGATGGTTTTGAATATCAGAAGTAAACGTCAATTAAGATACATACCGACTCTTTTTTAGCTTTTGACACTGGCTGCCATATAATGAAATCTGTTCCTATTTAGACTGCTAACTGAATAAGACATTTCTGCTAACTTTAAGTGGCAGACAAAATGGACCAAACCCATGACTAAAGTATACACGGGAAACCTATGTATGTTATTAAAACCGGCCTCATACTCCAACTGTCGGCTTTAGAACAGCAGAGACTGTAATTAGATCATGACTCACACTGTGTGTGTACATTCGTCATTGCTGAGTGTACACAAAGGAAGCACTTGCTGGACTTACCTGAAGGCATCGCAAGTAGTGTTATCTCTAAGAAAACTGTCATCACCATCATCATCACCATGATCACCAGAAGAACCACCACCATCAGTAAAACCACTGCCAATTATAATAATCAACATAATCAAACCCAACACCACCACCATTAAAATTCCTTAAACCACCACAATCGTTATCAGTAACCATCACAACCATCATCACAATCATCTCCCTAATCAAACCCAACACCACCACTATTATAATCCCCAACACCACCACAGTTATAAAACCACCACCAACACCACCATCGTAATGAGTAACCATCACAACAAACATAAGTAAAACCACCACTACCACCAAACATCACCATAATTAAACTACCATCAAACAACCACCATCAAAACCACAACAGCCATCACAACACAGAGGTGTAAAACAGGACAATATTTAATAATCATACTTAACTAATCAAACCTCCCACTAATCGAACATTAAAAATGCTGAAGTATCATGTTATATTTTGACTATAATCGCCCAAATCATCATCATCATCATTGTCAGTAAAACCACCACCATCATCATCACAATCACTAGTTAGGTCAGTGGTGTTGACATGCACTGTAAAGGCTAAATGAGTACTATCTTGTAATACATACAGCTAGGAACTTGTTTTTCCACAAAAGAAAACTAGGATAATGAAAAAGATTCATGGCAGAGGCGTCCAGCAGGTGTAATGGTAATGTTGTAGTGTTTAGAATTGACATGTCCTTGCTTCAGGCGCCGTGTGGCCTTGGAGCACTAATAAAGGAAAGACAGATAGGCAGCACAGTGCCTCATGGGTAGCCTTTGACCATGTTAAACAGTCTTGCATAACACATAAGCCTTTGTCAGACAGAACTGTTTGTATTCAGCTCAATAAACAGCTCACAAGAACTCTGCATATAAATCTCACATAATTGAACACGTCTACATCATTATGAGGTTCTGATGCAAATGTAAGGCTCAGTGTAGATACCTGTGGGTATGTGTTTCCAGCAATCAACCTATGCTGAGCCTACACACTCTGGGAAACTGGCATCTTTCCACTGATTTTTAAAATAAGCTGTTCTGAACGTTCAAGACTGCAGCCATAAAGCAGCAGGCTGAATAATGATCAGCTCAAACACCACAGTTACCCCATTCCATTAAAATTCATTACATACTTCACATCCAAGCAAACTACCTTGTTAATCACAAACATGGGCTTTTTATAGCGCAGAGCTGATGTACTGCGTCTGCTGAGGTCTTATGCCTTGTGTGTTCCGACCTACGCAGAGCTCTACTGAATCAGACTGCCTTTATTTGGATCTTCTACAAAAGTAAGAATTAAATAAGAGATCAAATTAATAATCAGCTTACTGAGCTGAGCTTAAATCCTGTCTAGACAGCAAAATACTGCGTATTGACTTCAGTGGCGAATCAGTGCCATTAACAGTAGCGCTGTGTGTTTGTGCAGTCTTATCTGAGGACACAGGTTACCTGATGAGTTGGAGCTTAAACAAAGAGCAAAGTTAACATGACTGGACAAGTGTCTCTCTCTCTCTCTCTCACACAAACACACATGCAGGTGAAAGCCCTTTGACCCCATTGCACTGTCTTAAAAAAGGTCTCTTATACGACACTCTCATGAAGCCTAGAACCCATAAAGCAGCTTTAAAAAAGCTTGTATCATGGATAATCACATTTCTGTCCATTTTATAAAATAAAACTGTGACACACATTGTTAAAGTTTCAAAATCATACCATTCACTCCCCAGTCTATACAGTCCATATATGAAAACTAAGCTGCACTGCAAAAACAGCCTGTTTTGCGTTCACTGTTTCAGTGAGGTCACAAGAAACACTCATTTAGCTCTGCTCAGTCATGCTGAAATTCTAAGCAGGGTTTCAGCTCTGAGTGGTTTTTGAATGAGGCACATTAAAGGACAGCAGATCAGAACAGAGATCAATTATATATCTCAATCTTAAAAGGAACAGTAACGAAAGCAGCCTGTTTAATTTTAAAGGTGTGCGTCCACGACGTGGAATTCTCCCTCCGTCTCCTCTTCTCTTGAAGGGCGTGTCTGTCGACAACACAGGACAAGAATGAGCCTGTCAATCAGTTGAGGATCTTCAAGTAGGCCACTTTGGTAAAATTAAAAAGCTTATATTTTGGCTGGCTACATAGGTTATCAACCCAAAAGAAGGAAATGTATTAGCCTGCTATAATTGCAACTGACTCAGACAGTGTCAAACACTTTCTGCCATGTGCAATTTTTTTACTAGGGTCTTTGCACTTTGTATTCATTAAGTTTTGGATCGTACAGACAGGTAACCCAGACACATCGGTTAACACTTTGTCCATGTTGTCCATGCGGAACTCTGAAGGCACATCCTCGTTGTGCACAGACAATGGAAGGTTGCTTTTGGTCTGTGCTGTGCAGGTGCCAGATCTAAACTGCATAAAGTTGATATGAAAAATATATATTAAATAAATTTTGTATAATAAATAAATCTAAGTAAATATAAATAAACGCAAGCAAAATGTGTGATATGGGCCCTTTAAAACAGATCTGTACCATCTGTTTTATGATGACTATTAAAACAATATTCTAGACATGACGATGATGCTGTTTTGTGTTTAAATTTCACCCGTTCAGCCTGTATATGAGGAGGTGATTCACACTGGGAGGTGAGAAGTTTCTTAGATGACTAATCATCAGAAGATTGTGAGTCTGAATGCAGACGATGACCTGACCGAGATAAGTGGATTATAAGAGATATTTTCATACTTTTACAGATTTTTAAGATACAATTATCTTTTTGGCCAACAGATAATCGGTTATGCTCTGTAAGTTAAATTAGCTTTTTTTTTTGTACGTTTTTTTATTAGTTATTGAGAAGTTGAATGCTTCCTACTTCTAAAGCACAAATTTGATGTATAAATTGTGATATTTCTGAGGGAGAAAACATCACGTGTGCTGAATGTCAGTATGTGTCTTATTCAAATCCACCCAGAGGGCTGGTCTTGTTAGCTGCTTCATCGCTTTTACAGCTGGTTTCAGTTTCTGACACACACTGGCTCAGGCCAACAGACTGCCTGTCAGCAGCTACTGTATGTTCTCTACAACCATAAAAACATCACTGACTCGATTGCAAGGTCTGCAACTAGCACAAGGAAACATGGAGATGAAAAGACAGAAAGGCAGTTTTTGATGGCCTTTTTGATATTCCTAAATCCTAAAATGATTATTCAAAGCAAGAAGTTCTCATCTTCTATAATTACTGATATTTACAGCCCAGATCTAATGGGTTATTTAACAGCAGTAATTACAAAAGGAATATCTTGCAAAGCTTGACAATGTCTAAGTACTAATTTGCATTGCTCTCATTCATTTTTCACAAATTAAGTTAAAGCATCCTCAAAAGACACTTCAACATGAAACATTTAAAAATGATGCATACATATGTTAAATTGCAATATGAACAGGACAAACTTTTACTTGGCTACAGAACTTTTACTTTAAAAACATTCCTCATACTTGCATCTCTTTTCCATCCTTAAATGCTTTAGAATCCAAAGTGGTTCTGCAGAAAAAGGGGTCTTTTGGAGTGATTCTGAAGTGATTCATGGGGTGAAAAATCACTGTGTCACCACCAACACAACACGCATCGTACACAGGTGCAGATTCAGTACACAAAACAATACCATACTATGCAATATGAAGCAAAACAAGGAACTGCACTGTGATACCTACTCAAAATATTCACTTAAATTAAGCAACCAAAATCCCAAAAAGATAGAAATTTTCATAACTATATAAAACAGCAATTTATACTCACCTTTTAAATATTACCATCTAGAAAACGCTAACCAAATTCAGACCACTCAGACTGATTATTTTCAATTAATGACTGCCTCTAAACTTTGCACCACTGGATCATGTCCTCCACACAGCAGCTTTGCTTTGTTTTTTCTTTAAGTCACTGAGACGTAGAACAGCTTTTACACATCAAACCCGATTCTTTAGATATCACAAGATAACAGCACATTTTAGTGGTATTTCTTTTCCTAGGAACAGCTTAAAAATGACATACTGATACTATTTATATTTCTTTTTTTATTATTATTATTATTATTATTAAATTGCCTACTTCTTTTCAGAAAAAAAATCCATAACTAAGTTTGTTCTCTGTAGAGGATTAAAATTAAATAAACAAAACATGATCAGGGCACCCAAATGTTTGCATACAACTGGAGTTTTTCGACCAAAGGTCAGTTTTGATTGTTCTCTCATGTGTCCCAGACGGTCATTCACCAGTCCTTCAATTGCAGCTTTAGCCTTTGGTCTTAGCTGGTGTTTGACAAAATGACACAGCATCAGAAAGTTGAAAAAAACAAGGAAGAGTACGAAGACTGTGGAAAAAAAAAGGATGCAAACAAAAAGAAAATGAATTAGCTAGAATAAGAAACACTCAAGTTACTGGATGTGGTTTAAGCACGCACGCACGCACGCACGCACTCGCACACACACACGCACGCACACACACACACACACAGTAAAGAGTGTAGAGTTTAATACTGTGTAATACAAGCGTTCTGTTTTAATCTATTAGATGGGGGCCAAATCGAGTTATAAAGATAGTCTGACGTTATGTAAGTAGATTTGCTGTGCCAGTGACATAACGGTATTTACTGCATTTTTTTTTTTATAAATGTTGACAACGCTGTTGCCACCGGACACTACTCACACAAACACACAGCATTAATCACTCCAACGATGTGCATAAATAACAGTTATTCAGCCAAAACGGCCTCTCTCCCAACGGCTCCCCCTCACCTTTCTCAGACAAGCATGACCTGGACTGACATAAGCAGACCTGTCAGCTGAACTAAACAAGATGATATAAAGAATCGACAAAGCCAAAAAAAGAAACCAACCAAATTCAGCCACAACAGTAAAATAAAATGAAAGTTAAATCCATCTACATAGCTGTTTGCATAAGTACCAAAAGAGGCATTCATTTTCCCGAACATCAACGAAATCACAAGATAATATCACATTTTAGATGTATTATTTTTCTAAGAACAGCTTAAAAACAAACATTGATACTATTTCTGTTCCTTTTACTTGCTGATCCATCCACGAGTCTGTCCCAAGCTGTCCCTGCCTCAACTAATACTCAGTCCATCCTTAACAAGACTGATTCTTTTTTAGGGGTCACTGAGGACCACAGCCACAAAGGCAATGCTGGAAACAGATCATTCTTCAAGTACTCTAATAAAGTAATAAAAATGTATTTTGGCTCTGTGACCTAGAATATAGTACTGCACAAAACTCAGACATTCATTTATTTACTTTCCAGTTAAAGTATGTATTATAGAAAAGGCGAAACATCACATAAACAGTACTTTCATCTTTGAGAGAAAAATCAAGCAACACTCTTGCTTCAGGTCTGAGTCCACAGGTGTT